TGGAACACAATTGGACCAGCAGAACAGAAATCACAGGCTACCACAATTTTTGTTAAACCTAAATTATGTTTTCTTGTCAGATGTCCTGTTGTGGAGTGGACAGCTTCGAAGACTTTGAAGAAAAATTCAAAGAAGAAAACTCAACGCAGGTAATGCCTGCAGCGTGTTGCGTTCTGGAAGGAGATTATCGCAGGTTTACTCCCAAGTTTCCCAACTGTACACAGAACCCTTCCTCCGTCAACTCATATTACATGACTGTAAGTACCTACTGTACTTCTCATCAATTGTATTAAGTTTGTCAATTAACCAAAGATGGTTAAATTTATGAGAACACAGAAGATAACAAACCATGCAAGGTTTGTCTGCATCAAAACAGTAATGAAAACAAAGTTAAAGAATTAATTGTATAGTACAAAACCATTAAGACAGGCTTTTGAAGTACCTAGTTCATTGATTTACTGAATTTTTCTTTGCTGGTAGGATTTGCAATGAGTTTGAAAACATAGCGCTTTGGGTAGTTGCAGCAACCCTACATAATTAATAACTACCAGTAATAAATAGTTCAGCTATATAATTTTTCCACAAGGTTCTACTATTGTTCTTGCTATATAATTTACTATGATGAATACCGTGATATTGGTTTAGACTGATTAGTTTCATCCTCTACCAAAAATATTTTTTAACAATCTGTAATCTTCATATGTGATGGAAAGCGAATAGAGACCTCTTGTCGGGAATTTTTGAGGTAGGTATACATATATACATATTTGAATCCTTATTAAATTCTGAATCACTTGGTGCAAGTCCCATGCATCTGTGATTTTTTGTGTTTAAGTTATAAGACTTTGAAATTTTGTTATAGAAAAGGCATTTTGAGAAAAACACTTTTGAAAATTTAAAGTACGCATTAAAACAGTTTTTTTTTGTATTTAAGAAGAGATTTTGGTATCAAAAGAAAGCGTATAATGTCCTCTTTGGAGGCAAAACCTATTTTTGTCCTAACTCTCGATAGTTTTCATTTAAATAATTGTTTTATAGAAGCATGTTGTAAAAATCACATTTCAGAAAAGGGACCTCTTGTCGGCCCTATGTTATTTCTCCATAAGATAAGAAAAGCTACCTCTTGTCGGGACCGCAAAATTTGTGAAATATTTTATTCTCCGCACACTGAACTTTGTTGTAGTTCACTAAATTTCCTCTAGAATGCAGGACAATTCATTTTTTGGGCTAAAATATGTTTATAAAGTGAATATTAGAAATGGGACCTCTTGTCGTTATGGCGAAATAACATTGAGCAACAAGAGGTACCTTTTCTCAGACTGTGCAGAGGCTAACAAAATGTTTTATTTCAACCTTTTATGTCTTCAATTTGATATTTCAACCAATACTGTCCTGCTCTATGATAAATGAGGTATAACAATCGATAACAACCCGAATTTCGATATTTTTGACATTAATTACTTAAATCGGCCATACTGAAAATTTTGCATCGCCGACAAGAGGTCCCTTTTTGCTTTCCACATCATATTATGAAAAGCTATCATCAAACTACTAAAATAGTTATAACTAGCAAACAATGAAACAGTAGTGAAGGGAAATGATTGGTAAATAGATATTGGGTAAGATGAAATATTGTTATAATAGTGTGGTAGGCTACATGCAGTCAATAAACCAACAAAGTGTGGTTTTGAGAAGAGAAAGGTAAATATTTGATGTGCAATTCTCTCGAATCTATTCAACGTTGCCCAGACTCTTTAGCCTCAACTTTCTTGGGCAAGATCACAAGTGCGAGGTCAATGTAAAGAAAACTACATAAAATTAGTCTTTCCAAAAACATGTTGTTAATGTAGGCCTTTAGTACAATGTCTGTGAGTAAATTAAATTTGTATGTTGATATTTTATTACTTTTTTTGATAATCTTTTAAATTTATTGTGAAATATGCATATCAAGAATGTTTTATGAATGATGATTCTAAAAAAAAATAAAATAAAAATCTACCATCAAGATTAAACAATTTTTTTTATCAAATCGCTATACTATCAATTTATAAAGTAATCCAATAACCATTCATAAAGCTACACCACTTGAAAGCCATTGCGGAAAAATTACAATTCTAGGCAAATCTTCATAGAATTTGACTGTGGCTGTAGAAAATTAATTTCTCACCACTAAAATTGCAATTTTACAATACCTCAAAAACTTTTACAAACTTGAACTTCTATTATTGTAGAAGGTAAAGGGAAGAGTCTGGTATCTTTTTCAGTGAAATTCAGGAGACAAATGATATTTAAAGATGGGAAGGTTAAACAGACTGGTTAGGTATGGGATTGTGACAAATAATTTGAAACCTGATCAGAAACTGATGTTTTCCGTCCCCCCCCCCCCCCCCCCCCCGTAGCCCCGTGTGGATAAAATTTTTGTTTATACAGATTAGTTTTATTCTTGTGTTATTTTACAGGGGTGTTACAAGACTGTGCTGAACTGGGTTCTGGACCATATAAACACAGTGATCTGGGTTGTACTCGCAGTCATCTTCGTAGAGCTTTTCACAGTGTTCCTGTCGTTCTGTCTGTGCAAAACCTTACAGAACTACGACGACGACAAGTAAACACTCGAGTGTCGCCACTTTGTGATTCCGTCTCCGAAAACAGAATCAAATTTTGTTCTCGAGAGACTTACACAGACATACCAAATAAAGAGACAATTCGAACGATTCTTTTCTGAGAGTCGTTCATATGTTAAGTGAAAATTGTTATAGATTGTAGATTTATTTTGTGTTACCAAAAAATAGTTGAAATAGCTGTTAAAAAAGTGTAAATAACACAAAGTTATGGTAAGCATCCAAATACATACGATGATCTGATATAAACATTCCCATTTGTGGTTTTTGCCACTTTTTTTATCAAACGGATTTTTGGGTTGAAATTATTTCCAGCTCAAATAAAAACACATAGTGTAAAGCCCTTGTACAGTTTACTATAGGAATGGGACCAAATGCTTTTTTATTACAGTAATTAATTAACCTATTCAATATTCATCACCCTCTGTATATATGCTTTGTAGACAGCACAAATACTTAGACATAAGTTGGCACTATTGAGAAACTAGAATCATCAGAAAATATTTCCAATTGTATGATCTTTACTAAGAAAACCTGCAATAAATCATATTTATTTGGTCCACTATGTGAAACTTCACGGTGTGTTAGATTTAAATTTACCATCTTGAGTTAATTCAAATTGCATTAAAATGTTTTTCCACATCTAAAATCAGTAGACGTTATTTCCCTTGTACATGTGTACTATATATGTTTAGCTTATTGTATGTTTATATGCGAAATAAGCTTAAGTAGTCATATGATTGAAATATGTTTTAGTTACGGTTGTTATGCTATCGGGTTGTAATGCATGGATGTTTTGGTAAAGAGTATTTTAAAGATGACCTGTCCAATTATTACCAGTCACTATTAAAACTTGACATTCATTAATATGTAAACATAATTAAGGCATATTGTATCAGAATTGAAGAGGCAGCCCCTTTTTCAATTATTCCATTGTTTGCATAGTGAGAAAACGAAATAACTTCATACAAATCACGATTCCAAAAAGTACAAATTATTTATATTGTGATAAGCTTTGTATACACTGTTATTTTACATGCATAGTACCTTAGAAATGGTGATGTAGTTATTATTTATATTTGTAATTGTTAGAAAGATAAAATTAAAGGTTTAAACATAATACAGTATTAGAAGACATCAATATTTATATTCCAATTATTAAGCTTTCTCTCGAATGTGTCAATATTTAACTTTATATTAGTTGTGTCAAAGAGCAACGGCCAAAGAATTCATCACAGAATGTTTTATTGTCTACGGCTCTTGGTAAATTGTATTGTTAAGTGCCTTGACCAAATTGTTGTTTTATAATTTTGATATAGAACTGAATCTGTTTGTATTTATCTTAGAAATAAATATATGTGCTTTCTTACATTGAGGTTTTATTTAGTACATTCTTGAACACTAACCTCTAAATCCCTGCAAATCCTAGCTAAATTTGTCAAAACATTATTCTCCTTGAAAATCAAAACTTTAGTACCTTTATAAAAAAAAGATGAGGGATATTTAGAAAGTAAGGAACGTTCCTTTTACTGGACACAAGCGGAACACGTTCTAGAACAGATATTTTGCCACCTCAATGACTGTCCCGCAATTGCACGGAAGTGTCGTTGGCTCCCCATTGTTGCAATATTTAAGTTGAAAATGTGTTCAGAAATTGGAAATCCGGCTAGTTTTAAGGGGCAGTCTTTAATAAGGTGTATAGTTAGTCAAACACTTAAAAAAGATCAAACGCTTAAAATATATAGAAATTTATTCTCAAGTGTGTGAACAAAAAGAACATAGTGAATGAATGTTCAGTCCAAAAATTGTAGAAAGGGCCTGAAAATGGAGGCACAGAAACTTTCCTTACCATCAGAATAACCCTTGTAATACTAATTTCACGAAACTTGCTACTACTTCAAGTCTCACTTGATTCCTAAGTTCTCAGTCTCTCAAATTAGTTTTCTCATATCCAATCCTCTGTGATCTAGACTTCTTAAATGCATTATATTTAGAGCATCACTAATTTTTTTTTGTTGTAAATATTGTTCTTGGGTGAATATATATTTACAAGTAAAAAAAAAAATCCAAATACAATTTAAGAAGTTTGAAAAACACAGAACAATAAGATCGTAAATCACTTGGTTTTTGAAAGACTCAGAAATCCTAATAACTTGTGAGCAAATGTCAATTCCTGCAGATGAATAAGTACTGAAGATAGATAAGAAAAACAATACTTTGGATTAACTGCTCATAATAATGTTTTTATCATCAATGCACTATTTGAGCCTTTTGTATACAAATGTTTAAATTGTTAAATAGGTACATTGAAGACATTCATGCGCTACCAAACGGAATAACATCAAAAATATACTTTGTCAATAATTGGAAACGAATGAATAACAGTTAATACCATTTATTTCCACTTAAAGTTAACTTACATAATTTACCTAACTCTACCAAATTATAACACAACCATAGTTTGACAATCTGTTTGAAAACTATAAATAAATAAATCATGAAAGTCTTTGAACATACACTTGAAACAACACTTATATGTTTAATTATTTACAATATTTTTCTCTTTTTAGAACATCTACAACAGTTAGATCTAATCTAATGTTCATTATTTTAATATGATGTAGTATTTTAGTATTGAGTGTTGAGCCATTAGTTGTATGATACATTATAATTCTATTTAATACATACATTAAAAACATTAAATATTACAACGGGTAGAATACTATTACAGTATGTAACACTTAAAAATTGAAATGTACATTCACTCTCCTCTTCAGCTTTACCTTTTGAAAAGCTATCAAAAAGGTTGTGTGATAAATTGACACTCCTTCAGTATTTTTGTTGTCATTATATGTCTGAGATTCGTCACTGTGAAATCACAATTAAAATGTGTCTTGTGCTGGTGTGATGATATCCACATAACTATAGGCCTACACAGAAAATAGTTTTGTTTACAAACTTGCGGCTGAGTTCACTGTAAAAGTGGCTCGTACAGTCTTTAACATGTAGCATCACAGACCGAGACTCCTATCCCAACATGCCTGAAATAAAACCAATCATATTAATTTTTTTCTAGCTGGTTTAAAATATAGGTTGATCAAATATTTAACAAACTCAAAATATAACCAAATCATTTAGGCAATTACTTTGATACACAGAATATGTAGATCATTGAGTAAAATGAGTTCCTGTACAGTGCCCCATCAAAGTGAGGGGCAGTGAGGTCCAGCATCCCATAAAAATAAAATAAATCAATTCCAGGTTTCCAGGTACAAATCTCCCAGCTCAAAATAAGCCTAATTTACTTCTTTACACCTGCTGGTTCATTATAAACCTTTCGACGAATTCCGTTATAATTTCTATCGATTGCCGCCACATCGTTGATCATATTTTTTGTTTGGGGCAAAATATGTGACGATTTCTTTTTCTCACAATCAAGGCAAAATCTGTGATTATTTCTCGCGATCACAACAAAATCCGTGATTATTTCCTTGAAGTGCGGCAATATCTTAATGATTTCTCATGATCGTGACAAGGACCGATATGATTTCTTGTGGTCGCAGAAACGTCCATTATTCCAGATAGTTATCTGCAATACGATTTTCAACTACGCAATACAAGACAAATCTGTGATTTTGAGTAAACAAAAATGATTTATAGGACTTTTTGAAAAGCATAAATGATTTTTAAAGGTCTTTGAGCTAAAAATAATATTGATTTAAACGCTCTGGAAGTGAACCTAATCTTTCAATATAGATAAATAAATTGAAGATGCATAGTATTTAACTCATAAGACATACAATTTATAGTTCAAGTACAAGCAAGATATGCTAATAAATTGCATCTTTACAAGATTCTCGGGTGTGGTTGCAAGCATTTCAAAATTAATTTATAAAATCATTGTAGTCATAGTGTTGATTAGTTTTCCCATGACTTAATATTACGTAGACAGAATTAATTATAGTTGTGTTAGTAACACATTAAATTCAGAACGATATGGCTGAAATCTTGACAATACAGTCCTTCCAAAATAAAATGAAGATGATTTATCAAATGCTTTGCAGTAAGATGACTGAAATAAGTATAGTTAGTTCTCTCTACAGAGTAGTTTGATTATAAGTCACTAATGTTTTCTATAATTAGCAATATAAAGTTCAACTCTACCTGAAACCATAAGTTAAGTGTGGAAGCTCAGAATATAGTCAATTTAATTTGGTAGAACTACAAAGAAAAGCAAATTGAATAAAAAAATTTTAATGTAAACTTACCGTGGGATAAAGAGAGAGGGGGATATCATTGAGGCCCCATCATGGGATGTTGCATGCCCATGGGGACAGACTGCATGCTGGTGGGATATGCAGGGCCTGGGGCCCCCATCATCTGACCCTGGGGGCCCATCACTCCAGGACTGGGGCCCACGGGCGAAGAAACCACCTGGAAAATGTGACCAATTTATAAGAATAACCTGTTAAAAAATGGCTATTTTAACTTAGAAACAACGAGCATAATAGATACTGCCATAGGTGGGCGGAGCGGAACAAAGCTCATTGGGATTGACTTCAATGCAAACTTTGTTACAGCACCACACAATAACTTACTATAATTTAAGGTACATACCTTCACGTCCACAGTTCATAAATGAATGGTCAAACCCACTACATGTTTCGCCTATACGTAAGCATTGTCAAATGGTCCTTCAAGAACGTTTCGTCCATTGTAGACTCGTCAAAAAACATTTAAATACATACACAAAACACGATACATTGTACGAAACGTTTAACACTTAGTAGGCCTACTATTTACTATTTAATTTTTTCTCAGGATGAAATAAAACATCTTAAGGTGATGAACCCCTCAGCTCCAGTTTTTAGGGGCCTTCCTAAGGTACATAAAGAAGGCACACCTATCAGACCATTAGTTGATTTTACTCCAGCACCAACATATAAAGTAGCAAAAAAACTAGAAAAACTACTACGAGATAACATAACTTTAACCAACAACTACAGCCTGAAAAATTCGTATGAGTTCATAAATAAACACAAAGACATAACCATTCAAATGCACCACACGCTCGCATCGTTCGATGTTGTGAACCTATATACCAATGTTCCCATTGATAAAGTACTGGAGATAGTAAGAATACATCTAACCAATAGCCCAACAATGTTATCGGAATCTTCTGATGAAATAATGGTGCTGCTAACAGAGATATTAAGACAAAACTATTTTACTTTCAATGGCAATTTTTACTCCCAACCTGATGGTCTTGCGATGGGTTCCCCGTTATCTGGAATACTATCTGATATTTATCTAAATCACATTGAAAACAACTTCATTTTCTCCGAATCTAATAAATACAGAAACAGGATCACCCTTTACAACCGTTATGTTGACGACACCATTATGTTGTTTAATGGTAATACTCGACAACTGAACTTATTATTGAACTACCTAAACAACATCGCGCCCAAACTACAGTTCACAATAGAAACAGAAGTCAATAATAAAATCAATTTTCTAGATATGACTATTGAGAAGGATAATAGTAAACTAAACTTCAGTATTTATAGAAAACCCACGACTTCAAGCCAAACAATACACGCCACTTCATACCATCCTATTTCTCAAAAACTTGCCGCCTACAATAGCCTAGTCTACAGGCTACTCAAATTTCCGCTTTCACCTGACAACTACAACAAAGAACTGAACATAATTAAACATATTGCCACCTCCAATGGATACAAACCAAGCATCATAGATAAAATAGTAACGAAATTAAAGAACAAACCAAATGAACCCGTATCAGCAGATGAACCCGAGAAGAAATACATTTGTATAGAATACAGCCACATAGCTCACAATGGGCTCAACAAAGTTTTAAAGAATCACGGGCTTCAATTAAACTTCAGGACCACAAATAAGACTATAAAATCTCTGTCAAATAAAGTTACCGATGAAAATAAGCTTGAAAAATCTGGGGTCTACAAACTAAAATGCATGGATTGTCCTGATTTTTATATTGGACAAACTGGCAGGACCTTCACCCAACGGCACAAAGAACATCGCCCCGACCCCAGAGCAGACAAACAAAAATCCACTTTTGCCCAACATTTATTGGATAATAATCACACCGTAGATGTAATTGACAATAGCCTGGAAATCCTTCACTTTTGTAACAAAGGTAACAAATTAGACTCTCTAGAACAATTCGAAATCTACAAAAGTTTCCAAGACATCCGTAATAAAAACTAGGGATGGTCAAGTCTCGAAATTTCGGGAAATTTTCGGGAAATTATAAATCTCGTTACACGAGACGAGATTTCTTTTTGGCCGAGATTTTTATCGAGACGAGAATAATAAAAAAAAAAAAAAAAAAAAAAAAAAAATTAAAAACGCCTGCAGAAAGTCAATGCAATACCCGCAATACAGGAGCGTGTTGTAGTTGCGTTTCCTTTGCGAAGGCGTTCTTATTTAATTAATTCTTTAAATGTAAATATTACTTTAATTATTTTAATAATATTACTTTAATAACATTTGAGAAGTTTTGTTAAGTGTAAGCAGTGTGAGGAATGTTTTATTACTATAAAAAGTCAAAACAAGTAACTATTTTATAAAAACTAATATTGCTTTTATTTTATGATTTATTTTATTTTAGGATAAGTTGAACACTATCCTAACTGATATCACTATGTTTCCTAATCGTAGGCATTTTTAATAAGTTAAGCGTGATTAATAAAAAAAATGTTATGCTGATGTTTTTTAATAAATGATTGTAAATATTCTTGCCTATTATCATTATTTTTGTATTTAAACAGTCATCTAACAATGTTACAAAATCAGGTAAAAATTTTGAACGTGCATTTCCCGTTGTGTATGAGAAGGGAAATCCCGTCTCGATCTCGTCTCGAAATTTTATGAGAAATAAAAAATCTCGTCTCGTCTCGTCTCGAACTAAAAATCCAATCTCGTCCATCCCTAAAAAACCATATTTTAAATGACCAGCTAAACTTCAAATCTCATTCAATTTTTAACGCCATAATAGCTCACAACAATAGACAGGAACAGTTTGACCTTTGCAGTATGACTGATAACGGAGAAGGGGTCGGGGTTACGTAATTCCAGCCAGTCTGCCTCCGTACCGCGACCGGTAAATAGTAGGCCTACTAAGTGTTAAACGTTTCGTACAATGTATCGTGTTTTGTGTATGTATTTAAATGTTTTTTGACGAGTCTACAATGGACGAAACGTTCTTGAAGGACCACTTGACAATGCCTACGTATAGGCGAAACATGTAGTGGGTTAGACCATTCATTTATGAACTGTGGACGTGAAGGTATGTACCTTAAATTATAGTCTAATCAACAGTTCAGGGGTTACACAATGAATTTTAATACAATAACTTAATCACATTTTAGCCAACTTAACTAGTATAGGGTGAACGTTTGTGAAACAAAATTTTTCAATTTGTTTGTGTGTTTTGTTTGTGTTCACCTATTAAACATAAAACTCACTTATCAATTTAAAATTTTCTATTAATTACTTAAGGAGAGCGAATGGTCTAGTAGAAGAGCGCATGGCTTCAGCCACGGGTTCAAATCTCACCAATCACCAAAGGATTTTGCTAGATAAAACCACACATACCTCTAAAAGGCCTAAAGTAATAAATAAGTAAAAGTGTTGGGGGTTGGAACTTAGCATCCTTAGATGTGAAGGACTGTTTTTGTTTTTACCTGAGGTGGTTCCGAGGGAAGCACTAGGTTGGCCAGTAAATCTTGAACAGCAGGGAACAGCGAGCACTCGCGCATGGCCGCTGTACACTCGACAAACCGCTTGAGTTGAGCGTTGGCTGCCGCTAGACCTGCCGCGGGGCCCGGGTCTCTCTTCTCTGCCAGCTGGGTCAGGTTAGTGCTGGTGTCGTACACCAGAGGCAGAACTAGCGTTGGCGGGTCCATGTAGCCCAGTCTGGTTATCTGCAGCTGTTATGGCATAAATATTTTGTATAGACTTTTTGCTTACAATAAATTGTCCTTTTAGTTTGGATTGAATAAAAATGAAGCAAGTAATTTACATTAGTACACTCTGTCAGTAGTATTTCAACTATGATTTTTTTCTAAAACTCACAACAACTTTAACACAGGAAAGTAATGTCTACTTCCATCCAAAGCCAAAGACAGCATAGATTGTAAATCAAAAGTTACTAAATTTACGGCAATTATATTAGATTGAAATATGATTCTTATCATTGAGGCTTTTTTCAGTCAAATACATGTATTTTACACTTACAAACAGGAGGAATTTAGTTCGGCAGACGAGTACACCAGCCTGTCCTGCAGGAACTATAGGGGGAGCGGAGGGAGGGATCCTTAGGCACCACTGGACTCCCCACTTGAGTCCCTGCTGTTGGGCCAGCCCAGGAACCTAGAGGTACAGAAAAAATGGTCAGAACATAAAAAACCGTTGATAAAAAGTGCAGTTAAATCCTGCAAAAACTCGGCAACTGATAACTCTGCAGTCTTAATATTTTGAGAACCCTTAAAATTAATAGTTTTTACAGAAGCACAGAGTCTAAAATCTTATTTAGGACCCTGGTGGAAAACAGCAAACTTGATAGCTTTAACGGTTACACAGAACTAGGGATGTGTCCAAGAATCGGTAGCGAGATTCTAAACATCTCTAGTTCTGTGTAACTGTCTGCGAAGATCAAGCGGTCAAAAAATTAATGCTTTTGACACGGTTGTGGATGAGGATGGTATATATCCTTTGATATGGTATTTATTAAATACATTTAGATGGGTTAAAATTTGAATTGGCTAGTTGGAAATTTTAATTTTGTTCTTTACTTAAAAATCAACCCACTACCCCAATATTATTTTTTGTGAGAACATAATGTAGTATAACTAATTTGTATCGAATGGTTAGCAAAATTTAAAAAAAATTGTATTGGTTTCGAGAATAAAAAATACATTTATATCAACACATCTCTACACAGAACATTACCCTTAACATTTGGGCTTAGCACTACTTGCTGAAATTATGTTGGGGACACTTAAGTCTAGCAAAGCTGATGATTGAAGCGCAAAACAGTGGAGTAGCTTAGACCTATTGGATGTACATTGATGGTAAGCTCTCAGAAAACACAAACATTGTATTAATATAATTAGTAGACTTGATTTTTCCTAGATTGTTAGTAAAAGTTCATGAGTAAATATTTCTTAAACTAGCTTTTTAATACTATTTTCTAACATAATTACCAGTTCAAGTTTCATGATCTGCACAAAGTCCTTGAGAACGTTGAACTGCACGCTGAGCATTCGTCCAAAGCAACAAAGAGCGTTGGGCTTGTATGGTGGCGCACTCGCTCTCATGTCAAAAAACTGCACAAACATCAGGGAACTTAGAGTATAATATAAATGGAAAAATATAATACTATTTAACGCCTCATTAACATAAATAACATAGTCATGTAGTTTTTTCACACGATTATATCTAGCCCATATCCAAACCACAGGTAAAGTAATATAATTCTTAAGACTCACTTATTATTTCAAATTCAAACCAAATTGCAATTGAAAAATTAACATACATGGCCTTAATTTTTAACATGTATAATCAATTGTAATATTTAAACATGATGTTTTCATAAGAAAACAGTTACTGTATGGTGTTTTTTGAAAAGTTTGAAAATGTGCACTCAAAATTTGTGCATTTGGTGCTGTATATTTTTGACACTGCTTTTGATTTTAACTCAATGGTTGTTCAACAAAGTGAAAAATGAAAAATTTTTATTACAATATTTAACATTCTATTATGCATATTTTCATTATATAGATTGCCTTTATCTCCCCAATTTGCTCACCACCCTTAACATAGACAATACGGCTTAGTCACTTTCCAAAATTGACTCTTACCTCCCAACCCCCCCCCCCCCTGCCAACACTTGTTTTCTTCATAAGTTCATCATTCACTGTAACCACCCACGTATCGAGAGCATAGTTGAAATTGTTTGGGTTCATCATTTATTGTACAAGTTTACGCTTGCAAAATGAAGAAAAGATCCTCATAGCCAAACGAACAAGCAAATCTTTGACTCTTGCCTAATGAGTTGAGATATAATACACTTTTAAAATTGAAATTATTGACGAAATAGATTTCCCGTAGAGTTATGCAATACATATTGTGCTTTTTCCGTTTTACAATTAATTAATTTCCTTTATTATCAAACTTATCTAGAATTCATATTTTTGAATAGTAAAATGTATTGGTCTCTTAGTTCGATTAAATTATTAAAGTTTGACTATATATATCATATCATTTACTGGTGGACATTCCATCTCTGTGTACCCCTTGTTACATAGAGATGGAAAGTTTTTAATCCTTATTGGGATTAAAAAAAACTTATTTGAATGAGCTACTCACTCAGTGGTCTACAAAGGTTCTACCGTACTGTAAAAAATCTATTTTTCCTACACTTACCAAACAATGTGCATGTTCTCTCACTAATTTGAGAAAGCAAAGTGGCCAATTCGCTCATCAGTGAGACAATGTTAACATTGTCTCACTCTAATTACTTTGTCTCACTCCAGATTTGCAACGTGAAGGCACGAAATAGTGAGCGCGTAACATGCAGACAAGGTCGTATGCGCGCGAAATACGTTGGCAGCACTGGCTGTAAATCAGCTGGTCAGCTGTTGTAATGTTGTATTAGTCACAGCATTAAATGTCTTATTAAAAGTTCACTTCTGTATAAAAATATGTTAAGTTTCTTTACCAATTTATTTGTTTTATGGTAACTGTAGGAAAAATATATTGTGCAACTCGAGTGCAAAGTGCATTCGCCTCACTCGAGAAACCATTCCTCCCTCGCCTACGGCTCGTGAGTAAGGATTTCTCTCGAGTGAGTCAATTGCTCACTTTTCTCACTAGTTGCACAAATAACTATTCTCTCTAAGTTTTCACTATTGTAGTTTATGCAGCTTTAAAATAAATGCTTTAATTATAAGTTGTGATATCAGTTTGTTAACAAGTTAGTGCATTCGACAGAAATAAGTATTTGACATCAGCACATTCCGAGGGTGGCTCAAGCAACATTCAACTTGTACATAAATTGTCTAAGACTACCTTCTCCAGTATTTGCAGCTCCTCCTGTGACCAGGAGTCCTTGTGTTCCGGTGCTGTGGTGATCTTGATGTGCAGAGATTGCAGATGTTGTGTGTTGAGGCCCACTCTACACTGTAGAGTGTCTACCTTGAAATGCACCACACCTGGCTCTGTAGTGGTCACTTGGGACAACTGCGGCTGTGGACATTGGTCAACTGAGTCATTGTAACACAGGGGGATTAAACTCTTTGTCATAAAAAAATAAAAATAAATTGTTAACTAGCCTAGCACAGTAAAAATTAAAATAAAAGTCTCAAAACTAACAAACATGTATCGTTGCATGAATTTATAAAAAATCTTTACTCTTCAGCTTTAAAGTTTTAGCAAATTTAATACTTAAGGGTCCAACTATAAGTGCAAAGGAACTTTACTCACTATCACCTCCTATAGACATAAAAACAAAACAATAGACAAGTCAATATAGAAAAATAGGTCATAAAAATATTTAATCTAGTCCAAGTTTAATTGTGAATAAATCTTGATAAAATTTCACCTTATTTTACCAATATAGTACTTGATTAGTGGAGTATATTAAACCTGTAAGAAAACAAAGCAAATGTTAGACGAGTAATTATTTGCCAAAAATGTGATCAGTCCATCACACTCTATCTAGTTTAAGTTTAATGAGCTGCAATAAACTAGGAAGTGAAGTCATCTTACGTTGGCAATACAGGACTAGGCAGTGTAATTCCTAACTAACCAGATAATTAAAAGTACTCACACATTCGTCAGACTGTATGAACCTCTGCAACTGACGTCGCATGTAGACACATCCGAGGAAGCGCTCCAGTGGTGCCAGCTCTGGACTGTGTAGTCCACCTGGGTGAGGCGAGGGTGTACACAGGAGGTCTAGAGCCTCATGGGTCAACAGTGTAGGCACAGCACCAGCCCACGACCTCTGAGGCAACACTCTGGCACCTGCACCTGCCGACACTCCTGTAAACATAGAGGAAATTATCAACAATTGTTTGATAAGCTTATTTATTATTATGAGAGACAAAATAGGCTAAGTGGCCTACTTCACAAATCCATGTCACTATACAGAGCACAACCATGAAGAATTGAAGGTGTTTAGAAAAGGTAAAAACACCAAGAAATTTCAGAAGATTTCAGGGATAAAAATTAATTTGGAATTTTCCAGGACGGAAATTTTTGTTAACTATCAGCTAGGATTGCAAGTTATGATGATGATGTTTCCGTGATCACTGGAGATATTCACAATTCTGTCTATATTGCATGAGAGAACAATGATGTGTCTGAGATCATGAGAGAAGAGATGTTTTGATGCTGCTGGTTGACGATTATGTCTCTACAATGGCAGGAGATGTTCAATGCATTTGCCACAATCACTGGAAAGTGATTCAAGATTCAAGATCTTTATTTGTCATTAAGCAATACAAGTATTACAATAGACATCGTCAAAGTTGTTTTTTTTTTATAATACATACAGTTATTTCCTGTTAGAGTAGGCCTAACAGCAAGAATGCACCAAGTGAGTAGCAATCACTCTTTAAAATATAACAGTTAAACATAATTAACTCTAAAATAAATAAATTAACAATTTACATGCCAATGATCAAAAATAAAATCTGTAAATATAATAACAATAAAATATTTAAATATAATAACAATTAAATAATTAAATATATTAATACTAACATTGATGTCCTAAAAACATAGGGAACTAATATCACAGGCCAGATAATCGTCTATGGAATAAAAAACATTTTCCTTAAGCCATTGTTTTATAATAGAAACAAATTGTTTAAAGGGTACAATCCATGCCTTTTTTGGCAATTTATTGAATAGTTGTATCTTCATACACATGTGGCTGCTCTTTGTTTTTTCCAATCTTAAAAAAGCTAAATCTAATTGATAGTTATTCCTAGTATAGTACTGATCTATAGTCTATCTATAGTACTGATGAGTTTCGTTTCTAGTTGTAAAATTTTTCAAAGACTCCTTAACATCTATTAGACAACAGTAAATATATAGATTAGGCAAAGTCATTATTTGTAATTCTTTGAATATTGGTTTACAAGACTGTCTTTGTGGTATATTCTTGATTGCTCTCAGTGCCTTTTTTTGCCATCCAAGAGCAGACTGTGCACTGCAAGAGTTGCCCCATAAGGTTATACGGGTCAAAATTTGAATAAAGTACGATTCTAAGTAGTGATTACAAAAAATATTTATTAATAGTTATTCTAATGACAATTGCACTTTTTAATACTGGTAACCTATAGAACACCACAAAATACGTAGAAAGCACTAATAGATATATATGTCAATGGTAGAGATAGTTTTATACTGAAAATTCTCGTTTTGTGTAACAGAGGTCACACTAAGATAAATCTTAATTACATGATGAAAAAAATGGGAAACCCAATGTATTTTTTATTTTTTATTGCTCAAATATACTGTTGTTAAATATATTACAGCCCTGTTTCTTTTGTTTTACCTATATCTTCATAAAAGCTTAGAAAAGATGTAATTATTTTCCAAATACGAGTTTTACACAGGTTTTTTAACCTCATAATGTGTGTATACGATTTTATAGTCATGAAAATCATTGTGTACTAATTTAAAATCAAACTAAATTGAAAAAATATAACAATTTATACATATTTACACTGTACGTATTTTAAAAATATAAATTAAAAATGTGACATTCTGTTACATGTGTGTGACCTCCGTTACATGTGTATGACCTCTGTTACATGTGTGTGACATCCGTTACAGAGATGAATCAGAATCTCACACTATGACATAAAGAACAACTATCTTAATATTTAATATGTCCATAGGCATCAAAAGAAGATTGAAATAATGAAAAAAGAATATGCTAATAATAACAGTTCAAACTAATACAAGTAGGTTAGTCTTCCAACTAAACGTTAGAAAAAATTTTCTTTATTTTCTCCATCTCTTTTTTTTCTATTTGGTAATGGCGTTGTGACACTGGATAAGGTGGTTTGGTCACACACATTAACCCAGCAATGGTAACTTCCTGTTTGTCTTCAGGTGTAGGCCAGAAGAATTTATTGCCACTTTTGGACATAAACGCTACCACCAATATATCTCCTTCTTTCTTCTCCTCCACAACTCCTAAAATTAAAAAAAAATTCAAATTATTTAGGGCAAACAATAATTTTTACCAAAAAGCAATGAATTATTTGAATTTTTGAATGATTTTTGGCCTACTGTTATAAGATTAATGTAAACAAAATTATAAAAAGAATGTAAAAAATTTGTTGATTTTTTAAATTGAGTTTAAATTTTAGTTACCTGGATACCAGTCGTTGTCATAAATGACACAAACCCAGCTTCCCACATCAATGCGTCTTGTACGACATAAATTGTCTTCTTGTGGGTCATCCAAATTGTTTTCCAAGCTGGGACCATTAGTTGTATCCAATAGATTGTCTTCTTGTGGGCCATCCAAATTGTTTTCCAACGTGGGATCATTAGTCTCAAGTGCATGTACTGTTAATTTGGCTAAGAAAAAGTATTTTAATAATCTATTGGGAAGATGGTCTTAAAATTATGCCTGTTTATTAAAAATACATTGCTTAACAAAGAATGTTGTTTGATGTTCTTACATTTTTGTCTTTTTAATTAAAAGTCAAGTTTCAATTTATAAACAAGTGGACCTAAATTGTCCTGTTGCCCAATCAATTTATTTACATTAAATTTTTGAAACACAAGTTCCATTAAATCACACTTCCAACAATCTTTTGTAAATAATGGGTTATAAGTTAAATAAATTGATTTATTATTGGCAAATATGTGTTTTTAATAACTTACAAACTAATGTTAGTTAGTTAAGAAAAGCAAAATAAATTAGTGATAAAGTAAAAGGATACAATGACTTTCAACGATGTGGTATGGAGGATTGTGCGGATGATGCTTACAAGCCTTGTTGAAGGCACAGGTAAAGCAACTAAGCCTTCTGAGAAAGATTTTGCATGGTTCGTCTTTCCATGTAGCTTGTTGAATCTGACTAATGCCAACAACAGCCTGAAGCTTTTCAGGCCTTTTCAAATACATCTCATCAATGTCTGTAGATTTAATCTTTATTAGATTTACCTTACTGCAAGTTTTGCTTACACACTTTATAAATGAGTCTACATCTGTTACATCATTGCCACATTTCACCATGAGATCTGCACTTCTTTTCACCACTCCACCGATTCCATCGGCAGAGCCTTTGCCGTGCCCACTAATGGAAAAATTCCATGTCATGGATTTCAAATTTGGTACATACTCCTTTATTCTAGACATGAAAAATATATTGAACCTATTTTTGTATTGTGATGACGGTCCATCACTTAATACATGTAAAGTGTCAATTTCAGGGCTTTTGTTTATTTTATCGAACAATGGCAAAAGATGAGCCCAGACAGCATGTGCCTTGTGATCAGTGTTGTCGGTTATGGTACAAAGTGATTCCAATTTATTTTTGGAGTACATAACTACTGTGTGGAGTGACAGTTGCTGTTTTGAACCTCCAAAGTGGCAGCTTTGGATTTCTTTATAAGACTTGCATAAATAGTTTTCAGAGAAATCAATGTGGAGCAAACACTCGTTTTCTTTAAGTGATTTCTTAAGTGTGTCCATGGCATTGTATTGGTGTGTTATTTTAGACAAATGTACTTTGTAAAGATCTAGCTGTTCTTGTAGCTTCATTGCTAGTTCAGAAACAGTGCATTGAACTTCCTCTTTGATACTCACCCTCATCAGTTTAGGATTTTTGTCAGAAATCGGTTTTGTAATCTGTTTCCACTGCAAGTAATTTACTTCAGATTGATCAATATTTGAAGTCTTTATCCTGCTTGACTCACATCTCGTGCAAACACCTGACATGCAATCTAGGGATTTCTTGTTACACACTGTCTCTTCAACTAATTCATCTAATGATTTTGTCACAATCTTTGTTTGAATACATTTTTCATGTACAAGGATGACATTGCTGCAAATTATACATGCACATGTATCAAGATCGTTCAATTTTGGGAATACAACCCAAAATGGCCTCAGTTTTAAAAATGTACTGTAACAAACTTTATTGTTTGGATGTTCTTCATTGAATTTTTTGTGTAAACCTTTAGCTGTATCTAGTAGAAGTCTTTTTTGTTTTTTAACTTTGCGTCTTGTAATGCAATCTTTTTTACCAGGGAGTTGTTTACTGTTAATGTCCTGGCAGTAAAATCTTCTGACTAAATAGATTGTATTACGAGGCAATCTTCTTTTATGCTCTTGCTTAGTTTTTCCAATTCTCCTATAAGCTTTGTAGCTTCCAACTAGATTTTTGGTTTATTTATTAGTTATTAGTTACTTATTTATTAGTTTTCTTTTCCTTAGTAAAGGCGTTGAAACCATGGCGTTGAATTCACTAATTTCTGCTTTGCTTTTAAGGGTGTTTTTCTTTTGAATTAAACCTTCCTCGATTGTTTCTAAATAAACCAGCCGCCTTTTTACTGGAGTAGGTACTTTTCTGTTATTTGCCAGTTGTGTTATTTTTTTCGTTGGGGATGGGGATTTGGTCACAGAGTTTTTATATCTTTGAAATCTTTTCTTATATCTTTCTGCTTTTCTCTGTGCAGATGCGAGCTGTTTTTGTGTTGAAAGTAGGTCTCTATAAACCTTAATGGTTTTTTTCGATTTTTTCCTCAGTTCTCTTTTTTTTGCACTGTGACTCTTTAAACTGTTGTTTGATATATTATTTAAGGATTCATTTTGGATATCACACTGTATAACAGCCTCATTTTGCCCATTCTGAAGTTTTTTTCTTTTTCTGCAGCGTTTTACTCTTTCTCTAACTAATTTTCTGTCTCTTCTTTTTTCCCTTTCATTCATATCTTTTCTCAACTTCCAGGTACCAGCCTCTTTTCTTTTCAATTTATACTGCTTGTCATACTCTCTCTTTTTTTCCAGTTGTTCTTCGGTAAGCTTTGCTCTATGTTTTCTCTGCCTCTCCCTTTCTTTCAAACGTTTCTCCTCTAATGCCTTTTCACTTAGCTTAGTTCTGGGTTTATTGTTTGATTTTTTAATCGCCTGTTTTGAACTAACCGAATTTTTTACTGTAGCAGGCTTAATTGGCCTTTTACTTTTATCGTTAACTTGTGAACAACTAGGCTTCACCAAGTTCAAATTATCTGGAGGGGTACTGGTGGTACATATTTTCTTTGGTGTTTGCACAGCTTTAGTAGAACCAGTTTTAGTTACTTCTAAATTATCTGGAGCTGCAGTACTTGAAGTATTTATAGGCGTACTAGAAGTCATTGGTCTAGAAAGTAAACCTCGGTCATGTTCCAACACACGTCTTCTTTTAATTTCCGCGTATTTTCGTCTTTGAAATTCTGCATTCTTTTTCTTTCGTATTGCAGATTTTTCTAATTCAATTTTTTTTCTACGGACCAAAGCCTCTTCTCTATCTTTTTTCAATCTTTCTTTCAACAGAAGATCTTCATCTCTTCCATCCATGGTCTGGAAAATTAAAGAATTTGTTTTCTAGCAAAGGCCTACTTAATGTCATTACAAGAGGACAATAGGATTAAAAAAGCCTAACTGAATCTTTAGTAAAAAATACTTGTAATAATTCTACACCATGACATATTTTTAGCCATCTTAGCCATCTAAAATTATTAAAAAAAACGTTTAACTCAAATTATATTTATGATTATAAGTTTAACTTTTCATGAATGCAAACATTAAGCTATTAAATCAAGGCTTTATCATAAATTTAATAAATAGGCTCAGGCCTAATTAATGTAGACCTAACTAATGTAGAGAGTAAATAAAAAAAACTAAAAAAGTAATAAAGCAAACCCCTTCCCCTATCTTTAATAAAAATTACAACACATAAAATCATTATTTTTCAAAAACCCATATCAACTAATTTCACAACTGCAACAAGTACTAAATAGTCCTAACTCAATTTAGATGCAAACATTAAGCTATTAAATCAAGGCTTTATCATAAATTTAATAAATAGGCTCAGGCCTAATTAATGTAAACCTAACTAATGTAGAGAGTAAATAAAAAAAAACTAAAAAAGTAATAAGTTAAAGCAAACCCCTTCCCCTATCTTTAATAAAAATTAAAACACATAAAATCATTATTTTTCAAAAACCCATATCAACTAATTTCACAACTGCAACAAGAACTAAATAGTCCTAACTCAATTTAGATTGGATAAAAAAGTGGAAAGCAGTTCTAGAAATTTGCTGGTTGCAATGAAAACTCACGCATAATTTGGTCTTTTTCCCGGTTGGAGGCAACCCTGCATCATCATTATTTTCATCAAAACATTGTTTACTAATTCATTATATTATATTCCATGTCAAAATCGAAAATAATAAACCAACAAATATATCACCAACAAGATCAAAACGTATATCAATCAAATGAATCAGCGGTCACAAAATGTATCGGATGTCACGTTTAATTGTGCATCATTCGTGACCGGCGATTCACAGACCGGCGTTACAATTTCATACGTCGTGTCTGCTAACCTCAAAATGGCGGATGCTATCGCTAGAGGCAAGTCGGCATTTGGAACCGGGCCGTATTACGCAAAACTTAAACTAGTACGAAGCATTGTGATTTATATTTTATTGACAATTAGTCATGTACCGTTGTTACACTTATAAATTATACATAACAGTTTCAACTAACAAAATTACTTACCTCCAAGTCCAAATTATCTTGAGAGCACAAACTACTAGCATTATTGCTGCTCATCGCCATGACACTTCTGTTTTAACGCCGATTTCCGCCGCTACTCGCGCTAGTCTCGCTGTGCGATGTGAAACAGACTTCACTACCGCCGTTACCGCTGATGTTAGGGACACGACTTTTAACTCAGTTTGGCGTTTAATGAGTATTATTTCATCCGTAATATGCACGTATTAGCCATCTTTCGTTATTAGAGATGATAATAAAATGTTTTATATTCACTTTTCTCATTGGTAAAAGTATTTAATTCGTCTCTTTAATGGTAAAACTCGTTCGGGGGACGTGTGACCGTCGTTACTTTGGCCACTATTTTCTCAGTTTAGTTCCAAAACCTCTTAATATTTAACAAATAAACTGTATATACAGCAATATTAAGGCCTAAACTTCCAAAATAAAAGGTTTTTAGCAATAGGTAAAGTGAGCAACATTTTTTTATTACTAAGGGACTGTTATTGTACCCAATTCAAATTTTGACCCATACCATATCGTAGATGGGAATGAAAAAAAGCATAGTATGCAGTAATCAGCATATCTGCAGTAACACAGTGTCTTAGTTTTCTGAGAAGACAAACCACCCTGGCCAGTTTCTTACACAATTGCTCTAAGTGACTATCCCAACTTAATCTGCTGTCTAAATATATGCCTAGCAATTTCACAGATTTAATATCCTTATAAATAGAGTAGTTAAGAGTAAAAATTATATTTTCAGTTTTCTGGTTATTTACAATTAAATGATTGGATTGGAACCATTCTTGTGCAACTAGTAAAGCCTGACTCTCAATTTTTTTAAGTTCCTTTAAATCTTTATGGCTGTTTTAACACTGGCAGATTTAACAGACATATTTATCTTTATGAGTGGAGATTTTAACAAACAACACAACAAATTCAGATGTTTAATTTGGTTGGTGTGGCAAATGGAGGCTATTATGTTTCCTCAATCTAGGCAGATAATAACTTAACCTGAATGTGATTTCCCAGCTAGGGATTATGGTCTTATCTCGCAGGGTCAGGCCAAAGCCACAAAAAGCACTTCATCCGAATTTGTTGAATTATTGTGCCATCCTATAAGTAAATTTTATTATCACCGATGTATTACAACTAATTGTTGGTTTTTATCAAGCAGCACAATGCAGACTGCAAATTGACATTGTTTGACATAATTGCTACATGCAGAAATTTGTATTTAGTATTTTAAAACAAACTTGTTGTACTTAATTAAAAATCCCATCTTCTTCCTGTTTCTAAAATCATAAAGAAAATAAAGATTCCATCCCATTTCAAACCAAAAGTACAATCATATCCCTTCTACTAAAACAAAATAGAATACAACTGTTTAAATTTTCAAAACGGTGACTAAAAGCTAAAAGTGTAAGTAGGCTACTACACTAAATTTAGCAAAACTGCAATAGAATAAAAAAAAAAAACATAATAAAGATGTACACTTAAATACCCCTATCCTTTAAAGGTGATGTAGCACAATTCAAAATCTTGGTCACAGAATACAACAGTATAGAAGGTGACTCACCAGATTTGTGATCAGGGCTGTGCAAGGCAGGATGGGGCGAGGGGCGTGCTGGGGAGGGGCGAGGCATACCAGGGCTACCAGGCCAGTTAGAGGCAGCAGGCGACTGTGATGATGGGAACGGGCTGCCATCTGTGTGACCTGCAACCAAACATCCTGCATAACACTCCCTCCATGCACAAAGGGGTACTTTATTGTTACCTTACTCTGGAGGTTATTGATTTGATTTTATAGAACATTTAACTGTAGTGTAGATTATTTGATTTTTCCTTATTAAAACCACAGCGTATTCCGTCACATGAAGGATATGACAGGTTTTACCGAGTCAGAAAAAAATTCTGAAGAAACCACATGTTATAGGAAATAATAAAGTTTTTTTGATCTAAATATTCCTTAACAAGTGTAATTTTCATTTTTGATTTTAAGTGAATGAATATTTACTTGCTCAAGTAAAAATTCAGGATAAATCACTCACCCTTGGCCTTGAATAATCACAATCAAAATAAAAAAAATAACAAATCTTAGTACTAAGATATGGCATTGTCAAACGTCATGATGAAACACATGACCCATGTTTCGGATGTATATAGCTGCAATCCAATTAGGGCAAATCAGTATAACTAGAAATGGACAGCCTATTGACTGAGGAAACCTTTGACTATGTATAGATCTAGACATTCAATTCCTATGTGAAATTTAAAGCCAGTATTAAAGTAAATATAAATGTTGGATCAAACCGTTGACAAAGTGTGCAGGATGTAAAATACCGATTTCTGTCAAATAAGCTAACTTTTTAACCAAGGTCAACTCAAAGGACAACTTAAGAGTAGCAAAATCTAAGCAAGTGAAATCTCTTGTCCCTTCAACCAACTCTCTGAAGTACTACATCAGGACAAAATATCAGTCTTATGTTTTGTGTTCCTCTAATGTGTATCTATCCTTGGACTATAATTTCCACAGGTAAGCTAGCTTAACACTATTACTTTTCAAAAAACTCATTACTGGTCAATTAGCTTTTCTTTGAATTATAAGGGAGTCAATTTCATCCTATGTTGGTCATTGGACAACATAACTTTAAAATAAAAAACCGCCAACAGCAGCACCTTATACATGGAATGTTTACTTATCCACTTAATGACAGAAACCTTCTAGTTGAAAGTACGAATTTGTACATACTAATTAAGTACTAACCAGCCTGTCCCATGAAGGAGCCGGCAGGTGAGTGTCCCACGGCACTGATGGCAGGGCCAGGGGAGGAGATAGGCATGGGGGAGGGAACATGGAGTGGGTTGGAGGGAGAGTGGAGGGTGGTTAGGCCGGACCCGGGAGAGGGATGAGGCAACATGGAGGGTGACGGCTGGATGTTAGGCGGAGACGCTAGGTTGAACGATGTAGCCGGCGACGACCCAAAACTGCTCTGATGCTGTTGTGTCTAGACAAAGAGAAAATTAATAAGAACTACCTACTATAGTGTATCATCATAAACAAAGAACTTTAGTCAAATAAGTTTATATTTCAAAGGAAAGGCAAAGTGGTTAGGAATTATTTTATAAGAGATAGAGTCTGGCTATCTTGTGGTAGCCGAGAAAATTACTCTAGAGTACAGGAGCTAATAGATATAAAACTAGTAACAATGCAAGACACTAACTTTTGTCCTGTCTTTTTTAAAGTGTATATTTAAGGGATTGAGATAGCCCGTTGTCTATTAGCCACTGGACTCTTTAATTTTCTTAGGTAAGATAGCTGAACTATATCTCTTTCCAAAATGATTCCAAACTAACTGAAAGTGTTGCAAAAAGATTTAGTCCATAACATAACCAACTTTTTCCCCTACCGTCACCCGACAAAGTGGGCTTCCTTGCACAGATTATAGTACAGAAAGCCTTACTTTGGCGCGTACACCAGTATTCCAACCAAACAACACAAAACAGCGTGCTTTTGTTATGCACATAATCCGTGTACGCTTGAAAATAAGTTGGCAACATTTAAAGATAATTACAACTACGATCAGCTGGAGCAGTGTTGCAGCGTTTCCCATTTCGTTTCAATTGGACTTAACCTAACCTGAAAACGTGTTGTACATTGTTTGAAATACTAATTATTTATATGATTTATAGCAACTGTAGAAAAAATATAATGTGTAACCCGAGTGCAAACTACTTTTGCTGCACTCAAGAAACTTTCCACACTCGCCTACGGCTTTTGCGTATCCATTTCTCTTATGAGTAGCAAAGTGCCACTTCGCCCACTGGTTACACGAATAACTATTGCTCATAAAGGCCATAGCACACCAACTCCATCAATATCGCCGAGGGATGGTAGCATGCGGACTTTTTACCATTAGCCATGCCACACCAAAAGTACCAAGTCCGCGAGGGAGTTTTTAGGTGGAAGGGGCCAGCTTAGAAGCTCTTAGAATTTCACCTATTGCTTGTATTTTAGGCAACAAAGAAAAAAAACTAAATAGAGGAAGAAGTGCATGTACTAGCCAAATTTGGTACAGTTGTAGGGGATGGGTCCTTAAACAACACACTAAAAGTACTGATCAGTGGGGGTGGAGCTAAGGGGGCTAGTGCGCTCTAAATGTCCCTTTTAAGGTTTTGTAAATAACTAAAAAAACATGGCCTTCAGCAAAACGTTTGACATATGTTTAAATAATCTACTTAAATGATCTACAAGAAAGGTCCTATGCACCTTTTTTCTGCATACTTTTTTCTATTACTTGTAGAAATATGGAGAAGATAACATGGAAAACAGTATTTATTTTTATTACTGATAATGTGAATTCATTTTCGAGGTGCACCTTTGCGCATGCACTAGACATAACTACTGCCAATGTAGTCTAAAAGAATCGCTCAGAAAGCAGTTGTGGCGGACACTACCGCACGCCCTCGGGCTCGTGGTAGTGCTGTGTGACTTGTCATATTTGTTATTCGCACCCACCACGGGGAGAGCTCGGTGTGGCATGGCCTTGAGTGTATAAATTCAGGTGAATTGCAAATTTTAGCACTTTACTTTACTAGCTGTATCTTAAGTAACCAGTTGTCATATCCTACCTACTGAACCTCATTACACGTACAACCTACCTGTGATATATTGGTGGTATGTGGACTGGCTGGAGTGTGCGGGTTGCTGCCAGAAGGGGGTGTGAGAGGGGGATGGAAGCGCAGCCCTCCCTCCCTAGTGTTGGGGGACTGAGGTTGTCTGTGTCCCCCCAGAAAGCCACCCCCCTCACCCGGGTCCATTGGGACTGGTGAAGGTGGGTTGTCATCTTCTGACTGGGACCTTCTGCGGAACACTGCACTCTCATCCACGTACTTGGACAGGAATGCCTGCAACATTTCAGTCAGCTGGGTAATATTTTGAATCATGAGATGGTAAAAATTTGTATTTAAGTCTAAGGTTAAGGGAACTAATTAACTAAATTTCAATCACTGTTTTTTTTTTTTATTTCCCTGAGGAAAAATTAGAAAGAAACCTGCTTTTAACTTTTTAACAATTTAATTAAACATTTACTTATGGAATCAATTAAGAAAGATTGTTGATGGCCTAAGTAACGGACTACCGACAACTGTCAATCCTTGATGAACAACTGACTCATACCATTTTCACCCCTAACAGTGCTAAGGGTGAGGATAACACTAAGTTGTCCCAAGTATTGTTATATTCATATTGGTATGGAGCTTGACTGTTACATATTCACCTTGAGGCCAGGTGTGGGGGAGAAGTCACTGACAACGTTGGTGCGGTCAAAGCGGCTGTACGCAGCATCCCTGAGACTGACGAGGCCACCTCCGCGTAGTCTCAGCTCCAGACAGTACATGCCTTGGTAGGTGAGTCGTATCAGAGTGGGTGACTGAGGCATGATAGTGAACGTCTGCACTGGCACCTGCGGCCTCTGTAACCACACATTACTACACTTTACAACTAATGTTGAGAGCTTTAGTTTTATTACAAACATAAAATTGAGTAAGCACAAAAAACTATCTTTAACATGAGTGCAAGCAGCTCGATTTTCCTAGCATAAGAGCTTGGTCAAGTACTAAGTCAACAGATCAGCCCTGTCGAGCTTTTACTCTCCCAATATTACTCTTACAAAAATTGCATGAGGGTTCGAATTGACATTTGGTTTTACAATCAAAACATAACCGCTAAGGGTATTGTGGGGAAGCGAGTTGGTCTAGTGGTAGAGCGTGGGACATCAGTTGCTGAGGTCTTGGGTTGAAATTCTGCCAATCACCAATGGACGTCCAAGGGATAATGCCACAACCCCTGGGTCTAGCCTGAAGTAATGTGAAAAAAATTCCCGGCTTGTGCCTAACGACCTAGGAAAAAATTGTACTGATTAGCTGTTTTGTCCCTTTTTGAAACCCAAGAGAGAAAATCATACCCCATTTCGTCCTGAAGTCAAAATTCCTTGCCCACAGATCCCTCTCTAAATATGATGACTCTGCAACCTGTTTCTTTTGGTAAAAAATTTAAAGAAAACATAGTTTCGCAGCATCTCTGAAAAGCCGGGTCTTTGACTCTTAATTTGCAGGCTTTGAACTATATAGGATCCAACAAAGAAACTTTTTTTTAACTGTAGACATTACACCTCAACATCTTGGGGTTTTACTTATTTTCAAATTATTTTAAACTCAATAGCCAGTTGCCATAGACTACTAGTCTGTGTGGTATCTAAAGAAAGTAAAGAATCATTTGAGGGTGTGGACTGCTCCCCAAAACTATAATAAATGGTAATGGCACATTCCTACAGTATAAGTCATATAAGCCAGTGATGATAAAATGATAATAGGCAGATGGTGATTCTTGAACCAGCAAGGTTTGGATCAGCCCAAGACATTACCTCTGCGCTACTGTGTTTGGTGTCAGACATTGTGACATTGACGAGTCTACTCACGGAATTGTGTACGCCCAGCTGGGGTATGGTGGGTAGTTTGCTGATGGATATGAGGGGCTCGTAAGTCTCATGCAGCAGATGTACTATCTGAGCGAGGTTGCGGTGTCTGTTGAGATGAGCCTCTAGTTGTTCCCTCAGAAGAGAGTGGGCGTTCACACAACTGTTGCTGCCACCTGTCCACCACACACAAGCTTAGGTTCCTAATTGTTCAGACTAGAGGTGCAAGTTTGATTTTCCAGTTTAGCCTAAAAGCTCAAGTGATCTAGCAGTAAATAAGAAAATAGAGCCAAGTTAAACTAAGACTTTAGATAAAATACCCTGATCCGCAAACCCAGAAAGCTTCTGAAAAAAAAATTCTCGGCCATAAGAAAGCTTTAAACTTGATCTTTTTCCAAAAGATTGACTCGAGCTCTGCTTGATCAAAATTAATTATAAGGCTCCCACAAACCTCTAGTTAAATAATTAAGGACAGTAAGATATACAAACTACAGTAAAAGTCAGCTCATCCGGCATCTGATGTTCCAGCACTTCAATAAGCCAACACCAGCATAGTTCTAAATCTAAATTAATCATTTTAGCAATTTTAGAGAATTTGTCAGATTCGGAAGCAATGGTGGATGTCAGTTGTACTCAAAAGAGTTCAAGAATGGGTAATTTATAAATTTTGTTACCATTTTACATCGCAACATAAAATAATAGAAAGCACAGTAGAACACCAAACAATGGTCTGCAAACGAACAATTTATTTTTAACTAACTATATTTAGCAGTACTTCCCCTAGTTCCGCTATAACGACAATTTTAGAAGACATCCAGAAAATCCCGCATAGCCAAAGCACCAAAAATGCTGGATTAGCGAGCTCCACAGTACATTGAACTTAGACCACATGAAAATAAATACCACATCAAACATAATGAAAAATAAAGTTAAACTAATGAAATGAAACATACCAAAGACCAATGTGAAGGCCTGTGACTGACTGTTCCACTGTACAGTGACAGTAGCTCCTCTCTCAGGTCCGTAGCCCAGCACCAGCTTGCTGTAACTGTAGGACTTGACAGTCACCATGTTGGACAAGTTGTACTTTTCTGAAACACCATTACAACATATGAAAAACAGGTTAAAGGTGGCATATTCACAGGTCTAACTCATCCTTTATTGTGGATGTCCGAGTTTTGGCTAGCTATCAAGCCATATCCACCAGGGCTTAAAATGTATTCATCTCTCAGTGCCATCAAACGATTAATATCCATAACATGGCGAACACAATACAAACACATAGGGAATACAAAACATGACATAATGACAACTAGGCATAGAATTTAATGTAAACGGTCAACAAGAACATTCCGCAACTGCGATTGCACTGTTATTGGCGTGGGAAGTTTCTAGTCCGTAAGGATGCCATCGAGGTTCTTGTCATTCGCCTATTAAGTCTGATGATGTTTTGATTTGAGTGTCCAACTGAAATTGATCACCTTCCATTAACAGTCCCAAACCCACTATTATTTATATAGATGATAATCATTAGACATATTTTATATGCACTTTCAGTGAATTTAATAAAACGTACAATGCTGATCAAGAAGTTATTCAAAGATATGAGGAGCTCTACACTTAGGTGGAATTATTTTCAAACACGAAAATCAAAAAGTAAGGAAATAAAATCTTACCTATTCTAAAGTACTCGGCCAACTCATCCACCAAGCAGTAAAGCTGAGCAATCTGAGTCCAGTCGTTCAGTAGAGCATCAACAGTCTTGCCAACATTGTCAGCTGATCCCATCTCATATTGAAAGTAAACCGGCCGGCGCATACCTGCTGGCATTGCATTCATCGTCAGCACATCACAGTAAAATACCTTCATGTAGGCCTAATTAAATGATATATAGATATTTGATTTACAACTTACAGTTAAATAGGTCATGCTCAGCAATAAAAAAGACAAAATACTTATGTTCAACTGAAATATTTTTACTTATTTAGTAATAGAGCATGGAAACATTCACACTCAAACAACAAGACGATTGCCGAATGAAAATAAAAGGTTTGTTAACTGATGTCTTCAGGTAAAAATATCAGCTCAAGTAAAAGGAGTATAAGATTTGCTCAACTTTCTGCAACATGAAACTGCTGTAGGCCTAGTTAGTTGTATTTACTGCAGTGGATGGTTCCGACAGTTACACAGACAGAGAAAACATTTGTTATTTGTTACAGACCAATATGTCAACAAAACTACCTTGCTCCTTGGGATGTGTGGTGGCCAGAGGGCTGCCGTAAAGTACAAACTCTGCCATCCAGCTCTTGACCTTGCCATGCACCCTTATAGATACTGAAAGTAGCCGCTTGAGTAGAGAGAACCACCCGGAAGACTGTGCCAGCCCCGCAGGTGGGGGAAGCTGTACCAGCCTCAACACCAGCGCGGTAGCATTGGCCTCTACTTGCAGACCTTGGTGAGAGATCTCCCTCCGAGTCAGCTGTTGACAAACAATAATACAACATACAACCTTTGATAATGGAGTAAATATCTCATTCTTAATTTTAAGTTGTTGTTTTCGTTACCTCCTGGAAACTTGGTGCTGTTACAGTTTGTCCTAGAATTGTACATGTTATTGATTAATTACTTTAATTGTGTTATTTAACCAGATACTGCTATGCAAGCAAAAGCCGACGAATGAGTCTGATCAGACATATACTAGGGAAGGAAGATATTGCATTGTTAAAGCAGTTGTGGAAAGAAACCCTGATGGAAGGAAGACCTATTGGGCGTGCCAAAAATATAGATGAAGTGTTCAAAGATATGAGGAAGATGGGAGTCATGGAAGAAGATGCTGAGGATAAAAAGGAAAGGAAGCATTTAGTTGGTGAGATGGTGAGACTAAATACCACCTAGAATATTGATGGCCATGGGAGTAAGAGTAAGTATTTCAATTATTGTCCTTATTGAAAGTTTATGAGTTGGATTTTGTCATTCGTTCAAGAGCATCTGGTTTCAATTATAATTCATCATCAGGCTTACCTCTTGCGCCAGAGAGACAAAGGGTATCCTCTCATCACACAGGGCCACAACATGCGCCAGTTCTGGTATGAAGTAGGCCGGACTCTTGCTGCGCCGACTGGACGGGTCATTACGGCCTCCTTGTTTGCGCTTCGACCCACACTTCTCATTCTGTTGTTCTGTGATAAAACAAATTGTGGAAAATGAATTAAGATTCAAATATAATTGACACTCACATACATTTGATTAGGAAAGCAGGCTTATGTGAATATAAAAGAGTTCACTCTTGCACAACAAACACAAAAGTTTTAAATTAATTAATGAAAATTCTAATATTTCGGTGTCACCATTTTCCTACCTTGCATGGTTGAAAATGCTGTTAGTGGCAATGAAATATTCTAGTTTTTGTGTATAGGCCTAATATAGTTTACTTTTGTATTTTTTACCAGAGTGGATGCTTTCTGGTTCAGGTACATGCATGGTCTCCCAAAAAAAACCTTAAGGCCACTTAACGGCCTGATTTTCAATGTTACATCCTTAAAAACACTGGCATATGTTGTGCTCTATATCTTTAGGACAAGGCATTACAAAAGAGAAATCAAAGCTATTTCACAACTATAAAGATTAAACTCAAGACGAACAAAAATTTAAGAGCCTAGAATTTTCACTCTATGTACAGAAGTTAACTTACCATCAACTGACGTGAAAGGCCCGTGAGTCGTCACAAACGTATCAAACTCTATAAGTGTGAGTACCCTGAGGTACATTTTGGGGATCTCCGTCTCAATGGTATCATCATGAGGGCTATCTTCAATCGAGGAATGTTTGACCACAGCCAAGTAGAAATTGCATTCCATTTCACAAGGTAAGCTTTCTTTCTCTTTAATCTCGACAACCTACATGAGAAATAATACTTATTTTATGTAAGACATAATTTTATCTTTAACACAATACAAATTTCATATACACCCCTTTGAAGCGGAATGTTTTATGTTCATTTAACAAGTTTCAGTAATTTTCTCAACTGACAACATTTAACAAATACAGTAGAGTCTCAACAGGTTATCCGAAATTCTGTAATATCCCTATGACGAACATGTGCGATAATATTGCATGCTGAGTATGATTGAACAATGTGGCAAGTGCGTCAAGACAACCTCTTCTGCTGCCCCTTACTGTAGTTACGCGCGACTGCAGAGACGTGCACTTGACTGCTACTTCTCATGCATAAGCAATGAGTTTACTACGTAGTTAGTTATAACTGCAAACCCTTCTGCTACCCTTACGTCTTCTATGTTATAGTGTAAAACAAGATCTGTGGATGAGTGGACGAAATATAACTTTATCTTATATTACAGTAGCCTAATTATGGTGTAGTGTATTTTTTTTATTTTAAGTTCCAGTATTTTGTAATGACGGATTAAAAACAGAGAAAAATGAGTAATTTTGATAAAAGATAAACTGATAGCGTCAAATAGGTTTTTATCAAGAATGAATATATAGTCCACTGTCAAATGTACACCCGTGTGCTCCTTGATGAGGCAGGTGTGGGAGTAGTCTTAATCTCTTCGTTTGACCTTGGAGAAATACAATTTCGATGGTGGCACTCTTGAAAATGGTGCGTTTGAACGCTGAGGGTAAAAAACAAAATGGCCGCCGTTTAAATGTTTAAAGTCAAATTCCATGAAAATCAGCTATTAAAACAAAATTTTGCAACACATTATTTAAAGTCCTTTTTATTACAAATAGAATGATACTTTATTTGCGAAAATCGGATAATAAATAAAAAAGTTATGTTACTTTTATTATTAATGGTAATTATCAAAATGGCAGTAATTTTGCCACAAAGTTAAATTCCATAGAAACTAGTGACTAAAACATATTAAAAGTTACATAACTTTTTTATTTATTATCCGATTTTCGCAAATAAAGTGTCATTCTATTTGTAATAAAAAGGACTTTAAATAATGTGTTGCAAAATTTTGTTTTAATAGCTGGTTTTCATGGAATTTGACTTTAAAAAACTTTAATGCCCGCCATTTTGAAATTTGATGAGCCTCATCAAAGATTTTTTCGGAGAATGTTTATAGTTGTAGACTTAAAGTTTATACTAAGTTTCATAAAAATATCTCCAAGAGCTTTTGAGTTAAGAATAAAAAAAAATACAAAATGGCGGATTACGGCTAAACTAAGCCGAAATCGAAAAAATGTTATACTGCATTTTCGACTTATTTTTGCACATAGAATTTGAATCTGCATAGCCCGAACCACTTTACTGAAACGCCCTTTATTACTTTTTGAAATATTTAACTGTCCTGGGACATTACATCCATCCTGATTAATTTATTTATGAAAAATATAAAATTATGTTTTATGAAAGAGTGGTGTATCCTACATAAAAACTTTGACAATCTTTTTTGTGCAGATTTGAAATAGCTACATTTTGGTATCAACAATTCTTTCATAACTCTAACGGTTACTGATATAAGTAAGAAAAGAAGTTTGCGACGGCGGCCATTTTGTTTTTATCCACAGTGTTCATAGGCACCATTTTTAAGAGTGCCACCATCGAAATTGTATTTCTCCAAGGTCAAACGAAGAGATTAAGACTACTCCCACACCTGCCTCATTAAGGAGCACACGGGAGCATGTATATGTACATTTGACAGGGGACTAATAATTACTAGGCCTTTTATGATTTTTAACACGTTTACTATTGTTTTTACAATTTTCCAAGTTATCCGACCTTGCCACAGGTGGAGGTCCAATCAAGACTAATGTGATACAATGTAAAATGTGAATGTTCTGAGAGGAAAATTCACAACTTATATAAAGCATGATGGATATTAACTGACCAGAATGACGTTGGGATGTTTGTGGAGCTTGACAAACATCCTGTGACGGGAGAGTTTGTTGAGGGGATGGTCTGGATGGAACAGTAGAGGCAGTCTCTCATATGGGGTGGCTGGCAGATGTTGTAGAGTCATCTCACATCTACGCTGGGTCATCCAGTACCTACACATTCCAAACATCACTCTCAGTCATTGTGAACATATTGTAGGCTACCAAAATGTAATAAAAAAATATAAAAAAATCTATGCTTCTTTAGTTTTTTTTTATATTTCTGATACTTAAAAAGTTAGAAGCAATAGTTAAAATACAATAATAGATGAGGACAAATATTTATGGATTGAAAGTTCACATACCAGACTATATTTTATGAAGCAACCATAGTTTCTACAGCTTTGTGATACAACAGAGGATGTTCATTATCGTATTCAGAACAAATACCAATACAATAGTTAATTGTGTAGCTAGTATGGGAAGTGGCACTTAGCTGCATATGAGAGAAATGTTTACCCACAAGCTACAGGCGAGTGTGGAAAGTTTCTCGATGCACTCGTGTTACACATTATATTTTTCCTAGTTACTAAATCATTATAAATAATTAGTCTTTTAAACACTGTAGGCCTACAACACGTTTTTAGGTAAGGTTAAATCCAAGCGTTGAACGAAATGGGAAACGCTGCACCAGCTGATCGTAGTCATATAGTATCTTTAAGTGTTGCTGACTTATTTTCTAGCCTACAAGTATTACGTGCCCAATAAAAGCACTGTTTTGTGCTATTTGGTTGGAATACTGGAGTGCAGCAAAAAAAAATTAGTGCGGCAAAAGTACAAGTAAATGCATCAATTAGCAACTTGTCATACTATAATCAGTGCAAGGAAGCCCACTTTGTCAGGTAACATTAGGAAGAAATTATTTCCAAACTATTTATTGGGTTTAGCCTATGTTAAAGATAAGCTAACACGGCAAAATATAGAGATAATAGGATGATAAACCATGGCTCGATAAGACCACCACGTACACCTGTTACTGGGGGGTGATGAGTTTTTAAAAGCAATGGTGCATGCAGTAGAACGTGGGGAATTACAAAATAATTTACGGGAAGTAAATAAACATAATTAATAATAACTGCAAATAAATAAAAATAATCCATCTAAGGCCTATAAATCGTAGGTACCTGAGTTCACTGATGAGCGTAGGTATCCTCGAGTGGTCGGTGTTGAGTCCAGTCTGCAGCTCAGGTATGATGGGAGGATCGTACTGAGGTACGTGGCATTGCAACATGCCTGTGTGTGTGTCCACAGTGATCAGCAGACTCTCAGCCTTCAAACACGGCTGCAGCACTGGTACACTCAGTATGGCAGGGGAACCTTGTAGTTGACCTACAATAAACAACATACTTGAACCAAACCGTACTTCTGTTAGCTAAATTTTGTGGAATTTTAAATTTAATTTAATAAAATATGTTAAAATGCATGTCTTCTTGAAGTAGCCTATCTTATTTTCCTTATAGGCTAACCCAATCTATGTAACCTTAATCAATAGCAATGCAGTTATTTTATTGTATAAAGATTAAATAAAAATAACATGCTCCTTTATTTATAGGGATAGCGATAAGCACACATAAGTTATAATAATTTTTAACAGGTATCGGTATCGAGTGCGGAATCGAGAATCGAAACCAAAGTTGTAGAATCGGTATCGGTATCGGAATCGACCAATTCAGGAATCAACCCATCACTATTTTCAAACTAGTAGAACCTTGATAACAAGACTCTCATAGGGATTATAGAACTAGACTTGTTATTTAGGTTGACTTCTTATCGAGGTTTGCAATAACAAGTGGTAAAATAATTTCAAGGGTTGTTTTTAAATAAAGATTGGAAAATGATCTTCTTTCATTATATCTTTATCTGTATTATTTGGATGAATTTTGGAATTCAAGAGAAATCATAAATTATAATTTAAAAAGATGATTTAATTTAATTTTGTTTTGTTTAGTCTTCTTAAGCTTAACATTTGTTTTGTAAAGATAATGATTGTTTTAGCGATAAGTATGGCATAATTCATCTTTATATTTATTTGACGCTATTAATTGTATAAAACTTGTACTGTGAATGAATAAAGAGAATTTGAATTGAATTGAATGGGATTTGAAAATGACCCTTGTTATCAAGAGTGACTTGTTATTGAGGGTCTTGTTATCAAGGTTCTACTATACATATGGATTCCTCCCCTGTTCCGATAACTAACTGTCGATATAAAAATGTGCATCAGTGCTTATGTCGTTCTTTTTGCCGTTAGTCACCCTGACAAAAACATATTAAGAGAAAAATGTAGCATATCTGTAAAAAGGTTGTCTATCAGGAGAAATTCAAGAATTATTTCATAATTCCATTAACTTTTCCAGACCAACAAAATTCCCTGACTTTTCCAGGTTTTCCCTGACAGTACCAACCTTGCTCTTAGCTAGATATAGGCCTACTCACACTCCACATCCTTAAGCATGGTTTGTAGCTCTGTCTTGAGATCAGAGAGTCGGCTCTTGGTGCGGACGTAAATGGTATGAACTAGCAGACGCTCCATAGACAAAAGATCTGACCGGATGGCTCTATCAGCTATCTCTGTCTCCTGAAAACAATTATCACATATGATATCACTGCAAATAGGAAGACAAGACACCAAAACATGACAAAACATAATGGACTTAACAAACTAAATATTGCAAATGCATACAGTATACAGTGTTGAAAAAATGTTACCAAGTGTGTTTTTTTTTTAGAATAGCCGGTTTTCCTGAATGGGCAAATGTTTACCATGGCACAAGAATCACAAAAACTTTACACTGTATGAAAAAAAAAACAATTCACAGTATCATTGTTCAACCATAAAAGGCTTAGTCCAATGGTGGCTAGGAAATAGTAGAAATTAAAAATAGTGATGTATTTAAATTTAGGTTACGTTCAATAGTGGATGGGAAATAGTAAAAACCATTCTCCATTAAAAACGCTGCCTATGCAAGTAAAGTTTAGATTGCAATTTTTTATGATAATTTAATGATATTTTAATTGTTTTGTGGTGTCAAGTTTGGTATTTCTTGAGCCTAGGTGGATTTTTCCCAGTCAGGCAATTCTAACTCGAATCCTTAAATAAAACTCTTGTGCTCTATTTCACATCCATAAAATTATTTAAATTGATGGTGTTCTAATTATGGATTAACACTTTCAAAAATAAAGACCACTGAGATGTGCTAAGTGATTGGCTAGACATACGATCGAGAAAAGAAAACAGGAAGGGGGGGAAATAATCCAGATGAAAATCGTAAATAGAATGAAAGAGAAATACCTCCGTGCTGAGCCCCACTTTGTTGCCGAGCGTAGGCACGTGGACCACAGAGAGTGGCCGAGCAGGATCATGCGTGTCTACCATCACAGTCAGTCTGTAGCCCAGCTCTGATCTAGGGTCCTTGGAGGTCAACTCACTGAACAAAAATACACACTCAGTAGGGGCCTAAAATCCAAATCATGTTGACTTTGGGTCAGATCAGGTGAAAAATGTTGACCTTCTGATCTCAGGCCAAAATTGGTCTGCTCTGAAAACAATTGATAACAAAATGTGATAACATCATTTTGCTATAAAATCAAGGCGTTTGCATGTAGGCTATATTATAAATGACTTGACCCAAGCATGGTTTGAAAATTATTTCTGATCAAAACCGATCCCTAACTACAGTTAAGTTCAGAATATAATTTACTAGTGTTAGTGGTTATCTGTTTGCTGTTGCTCCATTAGCATAGTAAGTAAATGGTGTTGTAAACAAAACAAAAATGTCAACAGTTTCAAAACCGAAACTGCAAAACTCTTTAATTTGAAAACTTTTGGAGCTGGAAACTTGCTGGCCGAATATCAAACTTTTGATAGTTTCTGACAAATCCCTAATTTTGTAGTTAGTTACCTACAACTACTAAACTTTAATTATGAAACTACTATTATTATAGTGTAGGAGCTTTAGTCCAAGGTTCGCAAATGCTACTCACCGCCAGTATGATATGGACAGACATTTTCCAGGAGAGTATTCATCTACATGAATGTGGCCGTCCAGTCGGTCTCTGCATAACCTCAGAGTCTGGGAGTACAATACCTTCAATGGTAGAAAACAATGGGAGCGTTTAGTCAATATAAAAAGAAAAACACTAATGGCAAACACCTTAACTACATAGTTCTTAGTGAAAAATTTACTTTTATAAAATTACTTGAATTGATTTTCACACAAGATCTAAGTACACTATCATGAATCTTGGTATTGATTGCAACTTCAGCAATGTGGTCTTGTTGTTTAGGAATTAAGATCAATCTTAACATAAATCATTTATATTTAGCACCGTACTAACACCCTAACACCAATGCCCGAGTAATAAATCAGCAGAGCATAATTTATGTTTGTTTACAACATTTTGAACACAAAAAATAATTGTAAAACTATTGTCGCTATAAACTTCCACTAAAACTTTATGGTAATTTAATGTCTAAATAAAAATAAGCATTCAATTTTTGGATTCATAATTTCATCAAAAACAAGTACAATTTATAATAACTATGAATAAAACACAAATACACTTAATTTGATTCTAAAAAAAAAAAATTGATAGTAACAAACAGTTTAAGTTATGATGAATAACCAAAATATTTTAACTACCGTAACTAGTGAATTAAAAATAAAATTAATATATGCAGTCATGCACATTAAAATAATATTGGGCACACCCACAAACTATCTGTCTCGCTATTAACAAACAAGAATTTTTCAAGGCACATAACCTCTCTGAACTCTTTCAACAATAATTGCATCACTGTGTGCTACTCTTCACCTTTAAGAACATAACAAGTTACACCTTTAACTTTTGATTATTTTAGACACTAAAGGGTGTCTACCAGTTGATCAAAATAAGTTTCAGTGACTTTGAAGGACGACGTTAAAACGCACAACCTTTCCTACTAATAAGACAATATTTTTCAGTGACTTAAACATGAGATAGAAACATGACATGTAGGCCTATGTCATGTTTGTATATTTTGTATAAAATATTTTGTATAAATGGTTGTATATTTGTATAAAATATTTTGTGTTGTAACAATTTGAGCCTACTACTAAAATATGTCCACTCTCATTGATTCTGCATTAGCAAATTAAGTATGATCTGGGGAACGTTATTTTGGTTAGGCCTGATTTTTCCTGTGACTTTTGGAATCTTAAAATGGAAATCGTTACTTTTCAGTGACAACTGAGACCAGTAAAATCAGTGACTTAATCTATTCACGACTTCCATGACCAGCAGACACTCTTTGGCACACTTTGTGACTAGCTCACAGAACTATGTTCTTTTGTTAATAAACTGGCAAACTACAATGGAAGCTGACCTCCAGCTGCAGAGACTGACAGAAGAAGTGAAGACAGTTGTACACCTCGGTGAGGAAGTTGGGGTTGTCCACCAGTCTAGCTTGTACAACTTGGTGAACGTACTGTACTTGCATAGGGTGGACCAGGGCCTTTCCATCTGCAAAAGAAGAGAAGAATAAATTAAATTGTGAATAACAAAACTGCTTTTACATCATCAGGAAAATAGTTTATTCAAACTAATAACAATTGCTATAAATTTGTCACACAGTTTTTCAACACATTTCAACAAAATCTCTTGCAAAATATAATAAAATAAGTACCGTTGTTTTTAAGTATTAATATAATTGAATATTGAATAAAAATTAAATTTACACACACTCCAATTGAAATCCATCACCATATTCCATTTTTAATATATTTACTGTCTCGCCGAGTAAACAGTAGGCCTATAGGTGTAAATATATGTTTTTAGTGTTATTAGACATAATTTGATTTAATTTCAGTAAATAAATCAACATGTACAATGCTGATCAAAGAATTGCAGATAACGGATCATAAATTCATACAGTTTATCAGTTCCACATAGTTGATGATAAAACTGATACAACACTGTCTTATACAGTATATTATCTCTCATCTTTATAACAAGTGAATTTTTCACAATGTACAGTGAACTTATCTCGACTTAAACATTTTCAAATTTGCTGCCTTGCTAAAACAATCAGTGCTTAGCTTTTGCAATAATTGTATAATAATTGTTGAATACAAATGATAACCTGTAAAAATTAACACATATTGTAAACATGGTGTAAACAAAAACTAGTTGGTCGTTGATTTAAATTATTACCTTCAACCTAATGTAAAAATATTTTTTTTTACCAGGCCTTCTGAATTAATTTGCTACCTTTACTGATAAAAAGTGGGACAGTCTGTTTAGAAATGACATGGCAGCAATTAGATTGGTTTTATTCTTCACAGTGAACTATCCACCTATTTCAATACCCAACTGAACTTCTTTTAATCAACATTGTTTTAACAATCATGAGATCAGGAAAACTGTTCTCTCTCGGAACGTTACCAGTAATTTTTGTAAATATAAATTAAAAGATAACTTTTTCAAGTTTTGGATCAAACTTTTCTATAAAGATCACTTTGGAAGAAGCATCTCTAAACTTACATGCGTCTTACTTAAACAACACGTAGACAATCATCTATTAGTAGCCTATCCATGAACATGAAACCTAGTTTCCTGACGAAAACTGAGCAAAGCTCGGCCCCCAGGTTTACTCACCTCCTGTCTCCTTATCCTCCACAAGAATGTCAATGTCCAGCAGTCTCCAGGGAATGTTGGGTCCTTCCCCCATCAAAGTGAGAGAGACTTCAAACTCATGCTCTACGTGGAACGTCACCCGCCCAGAGTCAATCTGGACACAAGAAATGTTAGGAACAATACCATCCAAAACTATTAGTTTAATGCACCTTAATAGCAAGATAATTCGCATCTCTGTTGTAACCCTGATTACAAGATGCTAAAATTAAGAAACCCTGTAAGTATATCGACATGAAGTTTTGCACAAAAGAAAAAATAGTTTCGGAAATTGCTTCAGTGCATTTCTTTAAGTTAGCACTACTTTGTTAAAAACCCGTTATCACAAAATCTAGTGTGGCAAGGTTTTCTTACCACAAAAATGGGGTGTTTAATTGATCATTCTTGTTAGAACGACCACCTGCTTTTAACACATATGCACCCATATATCCTCATGCAAAAAGGGTAGGACTTACATAATCCTTCCATCTTCAAGAATACATGAACGAATTATTCATTTCCATTTACCATATATGATCAAAGCTAGGCTCCAGCTTTTTACCCAACAAAGGATGCATTGAAATATAACCTCAGAGAAAATCATCCCCCATTCAGATTAGCCTTTCTTACTTTGACAAGGCCTTAGCATAACATTTTTAAATGTATTTAAAGGCATTTTCCACAAAAAGTGACTGCTTAAATGTTCAAATCTAGAGGCCTATTTCAGAATCTGTATTTTAGTAAAGGCCTCTCCCCTCTAGTTTAGGTTTGATTATTGAGCCTATGTCCAAAATATTAACAGTTACAATAAGCCATGTAAACTGGGTTTTAGACATGTTGAAGTTTTGCAACCAGCCAATACCAACCTTAAGATTCCTCATCTGAGGTTGTAGGTTGCCTGTGACCAGCCTATGTTGGATAACCTGGTTCAGTCTGTTGAGAGTGGCTCTGCGTTCTCCAGGAGTGATAGGATCAGGTGGCACGATCCTCTCCTGGAAAATATAGATAAGTAATAATTCATGATAGTAGACAGTATGACTATGTTTACCTACTTTAAAATAATGTCTACAGCATCAGCCATAAATTGGGGGTTTTTGGGGGACATTACCCACACACACACTTAACTTCATACTTTATCCATGAAATATTCATAAGATTCATAAGCAATGCACATTTAATGATACATGGGCAAATTAAGAGACCTGTAATAGTATAATATTTACACGTTACTAAAAGACAGACTTTGGTAAGCAGACGAAAGTTGTTGATTTAATGTCTCCATCACAATTCACCGTAAAATTAAACTACTGTGGTTAAATGCACAACTCATATCTACCTCTAACTTCACTTATCATGTTTGAACCCTCAACAAAAAACTTAACAAAGCATTAATGAATCACGGTTCAGAAAATCTATTCTAAATCTACATTTAACTAAAAATATGAAGGAGTTTTCCGAAAGATCAGGGATATCCAGGAGCTGTTAACATCAAGTTAATACCAATTATCATTTTAAGGAGTTTTTAGAAACAGAATAGGCCTAGAGTTCATCTAGCTTGTCAAAGAATAAGTGAGTCCAGGGGCTAACAGATACACAATAAAAGGACACAAAACATCTCTAGGTACACTGATACTAAGAACTCTGACATAGAACTTCCTCAGAGAGTAGGTCGTTAGAGATCACTCAACTATCATTTTAGGGTGAATTCGGCCCTAACCGTTAGAACATAGAAGCTATTTAATTCTCCTATTTAATATATTTTCAAAATCAGTTGGGAATGTTTACCACTGTAACTTAAAATTTGTTTTTTTTACACATTCTTTACCCTTCTTCAGTACTGAACGTGTGAGGTGTAGCTTAAAAGTGATTAGTGTCTAACAGCCTATTTTGAATTATTGGCACTCAAGAGGTTAATCTGTACACAAGCCAAACCTAACTTGACACAACATTAAACCAAAAGTGGAATCACATCTATATCATTAATACACGAACACAAAGTTTGTCGGTTGAACTCCTCCGCCATTTCTTAACCGATTTTATCCATTGATGTCTCATTGGAAAGAGCGTGTCGCGTATATTTGCAAACTGGCCGTACATTGTTGAAAAAGTCCCTTGGGCTCTGCCAGTGGCTTTGAAAGTTCACATGTTATCCTTATGAAGAACATATTTGTTTACATTTTTATCAGCTGTATAATTTAATTGCTGTTATTTATTTTTCAATTCAACAAACACATTGGGTACGTTTACTGATTTTGTTGAAATTAAATATTTACTACTTTAATTTACATTTGTTTTTAAATAACTAGGCCTACTTACTTCTTTGCAATTGCTCGATTTCGAGCAACATGTCCACTAGTACCTACCTATCAATTAATTCCAATACAGTACGGAACGGGTATATGAGATACTTTCACACTTTTTACAACATACCCTTATGCACAAGGGTAGTCGTGAGAAGGTCCCAGTGGTGAGAACCTCGACTGCCGCAGGGATGTGGAAGTTGGGTAGTCTGGCCTGGACCAACGTGTCCCGAGCCATACGGGCCAGCTGATCGGCCGTGTCCACAAACAGCATGGACTGTTTGTCTAGGAACGCCATGATGTGCTGCCAACAGACAAATAACAATTGTTTTATATGTGTACCTACTATTGGTGATTGTTAGTTAACAATGTGGAATTATTGCAGATATTATGTAAAAAGAAGTGTTTACAATGCTCAGGAGTCAAGATTTCAAATCCTGAAAATCAAGAAAACTTTTTTTTGACCAGTCAAAAATTGATGATGACCGCAATAACCCCTCAAATATGAGACTTTTCCTAACCACAAACTTAAAACTACACACCTACCTATAATGTTATTTTGTCAAATAGAAATGTATTATCAGTCCATTCAATTAAAATGGTAGGTAGCTTATAATACAAAGCCTACGGTAGTTTAGCAAAATAATTTTCTAGTAAATTTTACGTGTTCAATGTGGACAGTGTTTTGACAACCTCAAGACATCTTAACAAACTTTGACTTATTCAAAATGGAAGTTGAATCAGTTAGTCAGTTGTATTTTAATAAAATTTTAGTTACGGAAGGTCATAACTGGATGGAATTAAATAGGTCTACCTATTTAATTTAGAATTAAGTAATGGAATACCGGTACCTAAATTATAATTTAAGTGTTACAGTAAAAATCAGCTAAAAGCACTTAAAACTAGCCATTATTAATTAGTTTTAAGATTGAATTTGTTGGCAGTATCCCAACAGGTAGGGCGTAGGGTAACCCTAAAATCATCTTGAAAATTTAAATGAATTCAAATTCAGCCCAACAGATTATTAAACCATTCCTATAACTACTGGTATTTTGTAAACTTAATCAAATACTTACAGCAGATTTGTCGACCTTTGAAGCGCTGTTGGCCCATTTTACAAGAGCTAGCAGTCTGACAAACAACTGTCTAGTTCGAGCAGAGAATGTGTAAATTTCTATCTTTCTCTCAATATCCGTCTTGCGAGGTAACCTAACAAAACAAACAAAAGGTTAAAGTAACAAAACAACATTCTTGTAATAGATAAATTATACCTATATTACATTTATTTTGTTGTACTTAAACAAAGAGTGAGTTTAATAACTTAGATGAAGTTGTGTTGACAGAAACATTCATAGTCCTACATGTTCTTGTGGTAAATAAACTAGGTTATGGTAAATTAACTTGTAGAGAGAAAATTAATTATGTACGCCAACTAATTCTCTTGTAGGCTAATTAATTGTCACTGAGCATCAACTATCAAATATTTGCAGACTCTATGCCTAGTTTAAACTTAGGCACATACTCCTATAAATCAGCTGTTGACAATTATAATTTTTAGGCACTTTCACACTACTTTTTTGCCGTCCGTTTAAAAATTGTACTTTTGTTATGTGTCTATATTTGTTTTCCACATTACGGCAAGATGAATGTGTTTAAACAATGACTCAATTAACAGTTCAATAGTTGTTCTATTTGTACTGACTTGGTGGGCTTCTATTCGACAAAAGCCTCAAAGCAGAACCAAAGATTAATTTAAACTTTCTGCAACAAACTTTGAAATATCCAAATATTTTCTGCGTGCTTACACAATAAAAGTTGCGTGTAAATAAACCCTGTGTGTGATAGTTTTAATGAATATTTGGAAATAAATAAGTTTCCCATTCAAATACACCTGTTACATTTAATCACTTTAGTATTTTTTGGTTATTCTATGCGTTTTAACTCAGGATCAATGCACCGAATATTGACATCACAGCTTTCGTTTAAATGTACTGTAATGCAGGTTTTGTAGCGTTACCGTATTGTTTGCAGAACGGAGAATTTTTCTGCAGAAAATAAAGTTGTAGACTTGATACAGAAATATTTTCTGGAAAAAAGAAAAATTTTACTAACTTGTTATGTTGCATTTTCTGCAGAAACATAGGCCTATACTTACAGGTTAAGTGTTACCTAAGAAGGGCCATGTGGCCCTAGCTTTGCCTGTGAAAATAAGTACCTGATTTTTCATTTAAAAAAATTAACTTTTTGGAAGGCTGGGCTTTTTGCAGCCCTTGCCGTCTTTCTGCGACAATGTCACACTGTTGCCCGTAGTTCTGCTTTGGGGGACAAAAGTCTGTGCAGTGTGTAAGCTTGCATTTAACTAAGTTTACATGGGCCACTGATGCACGTAGCCAAGGTGCGGCAACCGAAGAGAGAAGTTGCATCTTTGGTGGGTCACCAAGCTTAAGTTAGTCGCTTACTAGGTCTATGTTAAGTTACTAAAGTTAACTTTAGTTTAGTCCTTACAGGTTTACTGAACTTACAATTCAGCAAGAACTGTCAGCTCGTGATAGGTCCTTTGAACGATGAAGTCTATGAGAACTCCAAGAGATATAGAGCCTCCCCTAGCTCCTTCTTGGGGGACATTGTTGCCAACTGGCGTTTGATGTCCTTCGAGAGGTACAGGAGCCATGTTTGTTGTTTTTAACTTCGACGATTCAATATTCACTGGCACAACTCATTTTCCTACAATAAAACACATTGTAGACAGCTGGTAAGTAGGGTAGGTAGGCCTACACGAAACCCCATTTATTACATATGTAAATATGTGTGTCAGCACAGCTAAAGCGCTAGGCTAACTTGGCCTATTCTCCATTAAAAATATCTGTATTCTAGTTGGTTTCTAATGTTTCTATACACCAACATAGTTATTGTATAGGCTACAATAAAATGTGACTGCAATGTTTAAAGTAGGTAGGCCTATTACAAAATGTTGATGACTGAGACACCTTTAAAAAAAAAAAAAACATAAACTTAGGCCTAGACTTCCATAAATGTTGTCAAAAACAACCGATTAAAAATATCGATGTTTTATTCAATAAATCGTTTGGTTGGTTAGGTTAGGTTAACCCTCCGAGTGTCCCTTGTTTTGGCCTTAATGTCTGCCTATTTTTTGCTCATTTGCAAGGTTTTATTAAAACGGATCTGAGAAGCTTAACCCTCCCGAGTGTCATGCGTCGCTGCAGCGACTCACGAACACTGTTTACGGCAAAGGCTCTATGACTGACTGAATCGGATTGAACTGGATTGAGTTAGGTATCGTTCTTTTCGTTAAATTATAAGCTTTCTCCAGAGGTCTGTCTCAGCGCTGTATGTTCTCTGAGCCGATCGTAATTGTAGCAGACAGCTGACGTGCGTAATTGTAAACAGCTTGGTTATCCTTGGACCGATGACTGATGTGTTTTATTACGTTTATCATTGTTTTAGTGTTAAAAATCAAAAGTAGTGATATACGTGGTGCATTATAAGAAGATTTAAGTGATTTTGAAGGGCTGGTTGATGATCCTGAAGAAGTAGGTAGTGATATTGATGTAAATTATCAGCCAGATTCCTAGCTATGGTTAGGCTATGCATTCTTAGCTAAACGCAATGTACTGAAATCTGTTTTTCACTCATAACTTATTTATTTGATAACTTACCTTACTATATGATTATATATTTGTAATCCTCATAAAATTTAGAACAAAGTGGCTATTTTCAAATATTTATAGGCCTATAATTTATACAATTTTATTGAGCGCAAACTTATTTTTTTTTTGAAAATTTTCCAAAATTTTTTTTTTTTACCTAAACATTTTTTTTTAAATAATTCAGTTAATTTGTGTTTTTACCAGGAAAGTTTTGGGGTAGTTTTGATTTTTTCCATTTCTTAAGTATTTTGGGGTGCTGAATCCGAATCTGAGGTTGGCCAACAAAAATTCTTGACGCAACATTGACAAAAAAGAGAAAAATATGGAAAAAATGATATTTTTTGTAATATTTAGCTTATAACTCACAAACTATTAACTTTTTGTTATTAGTCTATATTATAAAAATTAAAGTACACAAAATTTGCTACAAAATGTACCCCTAATGTGGTAATCTCCGATGAACCGTTTAGGCTCCAGAGCTATTTGAAAATTGGAACATTTTGTGTTAGTTTTTAAATTTCTCCAATTATTCTGTCAATGACATATATTCATTGTATATGCCCAGGCAAAGGTCTTATATAAATCCAAAGTGTTGAAATTGATTAATTTTGTGTTACTGAACCGTTGCCTTTTTATTTAGTGTACAGAAAAGTTACACGAACTGTAGCCGTTTAAATTATTCTCACTCAGAGGGTTGTAATGAGGCAGGTTCTGGCAAACGTTTCGATGCATTATTTGTGAGCATTCTAGCTTGTTCATCTGAACAATTAAAAAAAGGTTAAAAGTAAAAAAATTTACACATAATAATAAGAGATACCAAAATCAAAACTATCAAAATTTAAATAACACCAATCTATTAATCATGTAATATCTTATGCACCTGATGACGTGATATTAAGATATACGTGAATAATAAAATGTTATGTAGGCATATACTGTTGCTAAGCATTTACATTGTGTGTAGATTTGATAAATTGTAGGTCCTAGGGCTTAGGGTATAGGCCTACATGAGAGTGGTAAGGGTTAATTGACTTAAGATAGTCAATACAAATTTTGGCTAGAAAACTAAATCCAACGTTGCCTCACTGCCCCCAACTCAAGCAACTGTGTGGACATAACTCGCTTAGAGTTTACATTTACATTCGGGTGAATGAATGGGGGTGAAAAAAATTAGTATTGGTCTATGGTAACAGTGTCAATCACTCTAAGCCATGCATCGGTCTTGAAATTTTACACAGAAAATTTTATAATGGGATGTATAATACGATTGAGGATGTACGATGGGCTGTGATGCTAGAATCTAAGTAAGTAAGAAAGTAAGTATAGTACCAAACGCACATTCCTTTATTTTTTTAACTTGTTAAATCTACACACAATGTAAATGCTTTGCAACAGTATATGCCTACATAACATTTTATTATTTACGTATATCTAAATATTACGTCATCAGGTGCATACGATATTACATAATTAACAGATTGCTGTTATTTTAATTTTGATAATCTTGATTTTGGTATTACTTATTATTATGTGTAATTTTTTTTACTTTTACCCTTTTTTAATTGTCCAGATGAACAAGCTAGAATGCTCACAAATAATGCATCGAAACGTTTGCCAGAACCTGCCTCATTACAACCCTCTGAGTGAGAATAATTTAAACGGCAAGAGTTCGTGTAACTTTTCTGTACACTAAATAAAAAGTCAACGGTTCAGTAACACAAAATTAATCAATTTCAACACTTTGTATTTATATAAGACCTTTGCCTGGGCATATACAATGAATATATGTCATTGACAGAATAATTGGAGAAATTTAAAAACTAACACAAAATGTTCCAATTTTCAAATAGCTCTGGAGCCTAAACGGTTCATCGGAGATTACCACATTAGGGGTACATTTTGTAGCAAATTTTGTGTACTTTAATTTTTATAATATAGACTAATAACAAAAAGTTAATAGTTTGTGAGTTATAAGCTAAATATTACAAAAAATATCATTTTTTCCATATTTTTCTCATTTTTGTCAATGTTGCGTCAAGAATTTTTGTTGGCAAACCTCAGATTCGGATTCAGCACCCCAAAATACATAAGAAATGGAAAAAATCAAAACTACCCCAAAACTTTCTCGCTATGAGCAAATTTAAATACAAATTTACTGGATTAAAAACAAATGTTCCTTATGTTTTATATATAATATTGAAGCCCATGATTTTCCAAACAAAATGGTACCATAGAACAGTATAATTAACATTGTTTTTAAGCTTCTCAGATCCGTTTTAATAAAACCTTGCAAATGAGCTAAAAATATGCAGACATTAAGGCCAAAACAAGGGACACTCGCAAAAAATAAGTTTGCGCTCAATGAAATTGTATAAATTATAGGCCTATAAATATTTGAAAATAGCCACTTTGTTCTAAATTTTATGAGGATTACAAATATATAATAATATAAGGAAGTAGATTTGCAAATAAATAAGTTATGGGCAAAAAACAGATTTCAGTACATAGCGTTTAGCTAAGAATGCATAGCCTAACCATAGCTAGGAATCTGGCTGATATTTTACATCAATATCACTACCTACTTCTTCAGGATCATCAACCAGCCCTTCAAAATCACTTAAATCTTCGCACCACGTATATCACTACTTTTGATCTTTAACACTAAAACAATGATAAACGTAATAAAACACATCAGTCATCGGTCCTAGGTTAACCAAGCTGTTTACAAATACGCACGTCAGCTGTCTGCTACAATATTTTCGGAACTAAAATGAATAGCGCTTAGAGACAGACCTCCGGAGAAAGCTCTGAATCTGTCAAATAAAATGATACCTAACTCGATCCAGTTCAATCCGATTTAGTCAGTCATAGAGCCTTCGCCGTAAACAGTGTTTGTGAGTCGCTGCAGCGACACAAAACACTACACAAAGTGTGTTATGTGTCGCTGCAGCGACAAATAACACTCGGAGGGTTAACCTAACTAACCAAACAACAGGGTACCTATATCAAATAAAATAATTAATAACTTAGCTTATTTTTATTCGGTGATTTTTGACAACAGATAAGATACGAAAGTCTAATCAAGAAAACAATTACAAGTTAACTGTGTCTAGGCCAGTTCCCCCTATAGGCTATAAAAATGCTTCAGACAAGATGCCGACTCTCCAATCCCTGGTCAATAATTGTAAAGAGTGGCATTGTATAGCCTAGTAAATGGATACAAGCTATTTGTGGCTTTCCCAACACTAGGCATAAAAGGATATGATAGCAAATCTAGGCCTACTTGACCTACCTTTCTTCTTACAAATATTCCATAGATAGGCCTAAGCGACACAAGCAATATCTTAAGTAGATAATAGTTCCGATAATTCCTTAGAACCTATAATAGGTGGTCTAGGGGTACGCCTAGAAAAAATTAGAGAATTTCTTCTTCAGAAATCAGACCGTGTATGCCTAACAAGTTATGAGTTAGCACTAACACAATCGTCACAATCTAGCTTGAAAGTTATAAATTATTGCTTGGATTGTAATTTTAATTTCATCAACATTAGTAAAATAATCATCTGAATTGTCGGTGTTCTATATGGAATTAATCTGAACGTGCAACCAACCAAAGAGTCTTCAACGGAATGACATAGAATGAAACATTGAAACGAAAAGACAAACAACAACCCAACACACGACAGAACCACGAAACGACCAAACGACACGACAACCAGAACCAGGAGCGTCTGCGGCGAGAACGATAGTTAAACGAGAAGAGAGTAAGAAGAAACGTGTAGGCAAAAGGCAAAAGCTAGCATACAGCAAAATAGCAAGTAACAAAGTAGCCGAACCGGTGGTAATACCGTAGATTAAAAACATTAAGAGCAATAAATTATAGTAAAACTGTACAGGGGGATACAGAAGCAGCAAAATAAACCATTCCAATCCAATAATATCCAAATGCATGTAACATGTTTAACGGAATAAAAATATTGATTATTGATTCTTGATTCATTGCTGAAGACATACCAAGAATTTGGTGTCATGGAACGGTTTTAGAAGTACAAATGTTCTATAATAAATAAGTTATTAAGACACTAACAGTGTGTGTGACATTTTAATCATTCAGATTCACGAAAATAAAAATATAAAACAGCCATAGATAAAACATACTTGTTTTATCTATGACATGGCGTACCATGGCCACCACACTCCACGGTGCACTCCAGGCACGGCCACCTTTAACTCCAGGCCGCGGCCTGGTAGAATTGGCAAATTTTGCAAATGGTGTTGTCCAGCGCTAGACGTCCCATAAGATAAGATGGCAGACAGGTGACACCAAGTCATTAATTCGCGTATTATTCCTTTAAATTAAAAATTATGAACATAAATTTATTAAAGGATTGAAAATAAAATATATAGAATCAAAAACCAAAACAATGTTTATATTGAAAATCTATTTTTGTTAATTAAATTGGAGTAAATATTTTCATAGCCCAGTAAACATGCTTTTGTATGATTAAGCAATACACAAATTACCATTAGCCACCTCCAAACAAAACAGCTGTTTAAAATCCCCCTACTAGCGATGTTGCCACTTCGAAGGCCATGGCCTGGAGTTGGTAGCCGTGACTCCAGGACTCCAGGCCACGGCATTCGAAGTGGCAACACTGTCTGTTAGTTGCATCGATATATATCAAACAACGATGGTTAGTTGTAGTGCTGTTACAGCTGTTTTGTTTGGTGGTAGCTAATGCGTAATTTGTGCATTTTTACTTTCTCCCATCATAGTACATGGAGAAAGTATTGTTTTCGTCAGCATTTTCGAGTTCGAATTTAAATGTACCGGTATATACGAGTATTTTCGTTTTGGGTCCCCCTGGACCCAAAAAAGTGGTTTTGGAAGTGATGTCTGTGGGTTGGGTGAAATGTATACAGGACGGCAAGTATAGAGACGAAACCACAGGCCCAGACTCTTGCGCTTACTGTACATACAAAAACCAGACCATGCGACTGTGTTCACCATTACCGACCATTGTATCAGAACTAAACTTAAGAATGTCTTGCCCTAAAGTGTGTACTAGTTGTCAAAATAGAGCTGCCAATTTAAATGTAAAACAAAAAAAAAATTTAAAATAATTATGGTTTGCCATATTATATAATTTATTCTAATTGAGGAACCTTCTTATTGAAAGAGGAAAACATTTATTTAATTCAATAACAATCATACTTGCTTCCTTCAACTTCACCTGACAATTAATTCACAATCTGGTGTTTCAGCCTCTACCAAACCCGATTTTCTAGGTCTTTTTACGAATGATCACCATAGAAGTTATACATGATGTGATAAGTAAAATAAAATCCTGAATTAGAAAATTTCACAAATTGAGTTTTTAAGATCAATAATATATCACCAAAAAATTTTAATGAATATAAAACGTTATCGTTGCGGGATGAAGATATAATAAAGGGGAGTTTAGGTCAATTTATTTATCAAATACAACGTTTACACAGTTAAATATATATGCCAGGATACAACGAAAAAATATTTACAAGTTAAAATTTAATTTTAGAAAGCGAGTCCAGCCTCTCTGTAAGTAGTGAAGATCTTCTCTATTGAGTTGACGTAGGCAGCTGTTCTCAAATCTAGGCCCAAGTTGTACTTAGCAGCTGTTTTCATTATGGCCTGTAATTTGAAAATACAATATTAATTAGTACCTAGGTAGTGTGTGGTGTTTTATATGAAAGTATTTAAACGATTTTGAGAAAATTCAGCTCAAACCACTTAAAAGCAAAAAGCTTTTGTGGATATGAAGAGGATTGAACCAACCAACCCTACCGACTTCCATCCACGTAACACATCCTCAAGACTGGGATTGGTTAACACTTTGTACTCTGTAAATTGTTTATTTATCTATCAGTGACTATCTTCTATATATAAAGCCAAAAGTACCCATGAACTTTTCAGAAAACTACAAGTCACACCCCCATAAACCATATACTTAAAATGTTCGTCATTACGAAAAACCTTGCGCAAAACTATCCATTATTTCATTAATTGGCCTTTAAGGTCGTAATTCCTTTCTAAAGGGAACTTTCCATATACCTAATGTTAAAAATACCTCAGCTGTACTTATTTGTTTGTTATTCTTTCAATTTATTACCCTATTAAAATCAGGTGTGATTATTTGTTTGTTTTACTTTTATTGTATTTTGTTTATTTCAGGTTAGCTTAACCAATCAATAGTTTTATTAATACTTATGAAGTCAAACGGGGTGAAGCCCGTGGGTAACAGCTAGTTTTTATCATTTACCAATCTCCCCCTTATTTTATGAACACGAGAGTCATATTATTTTTAACTATTGTTGATGGGCGGACACAGTACTAGGACTAGTGCAAAGTAGCAGCATGCCCGTCTTTAGGTGAAACCAAGAGTGTACCTATCCCATCAACTTCCAACCGGAGGGTCCATTTATTTTAGGTGGGTTCCACCCACCTTTTTATTACAGACAGAAGACTTGATGAGTTGCAGAACAGAATCTGCCCATGGCAGAATTCAAAGGCTAATCTACGTTTCTATCTCCTGGCAAAAAACAAAAAAAACAAAACAAAAACACCTTACTACCTGCCAGGCTTAGTGGGTAGTCCCAATCTTGACTCCTCTAAGTTACAGCTCAAAATAGCATTTAGCAGTTTTAAATGAGTTATACTTGCATTGGTGGTATGCCTTATACAAAGGGGAAAACATATCCCTAAACTAATATTTTTTAAGCAACAATTATTTAATTTTCAAATGTTTCCATTATGATTTCCTTACTAATTTTTTTTTAATAGCAACCCAGCGGACACACAGACAGCTCTTGCCTATGTCTGCTGATTTAAAAAAAAAAAATCAATTATGTTAGTACAGAAATTTTTCTTTTTATTTTAGTTTTAGTTTATATTTTGCAATTGTAACGTTAAGAAGTATGTATTTTTGTATTCTGTATATTATGTGGAAAATAAACATATTATTTCATTCATTCATTCATATTGCAGTTTTACTCGCTAAGTCCTCAAACTGCGTAGGTGATAGGAGGCCGGAGGCTCCTTTGGCGTTGTTGTCATCAGCCACTCATACCATTTCAGGAGCCCAACATCGGAATCATGCATTGTGTGCATATTTATTTTCAAAATAACTAATTCAAGCACACAATGGTGTGATTTCTGAATGCATAAATTTTAACACAAGTATGTTTTTTGCCAGAAGCATGGAACATTTAGTACCAGCTCAATTATCAAGGGTACCTGGGTATAGTTACGAATCATCAAAAAGCTACCATCTTTTCTCAGGTTCATATCACAGTACGTACCATGGTTTGAAATAGAGGAATTTTACTAAAAATGGAAAATTTTAAGCACTTTATCGGTGTATTGAACTGTATTGCATTTGTCTAAGATAAGTTAAAGTTTTTCCTACTCAACACATTTACATTTTATTTTACTTATATTAAAAGTCACACAAAACAACCGTAGGTTTGGGTAATTTTGGTATTTGTCATATTTCTGTAATGAAGTCATAGCTGAAAAGTGACTCTGATGATGTGCTAAAAGCTTTTGGCCATTAATGGAATATTTAAAAGAACAAGTAAACATCTCCCAAAGATAATCAGTGTAATGACGATAATGGTAGCCAGAAGAAAGGCTAAATTGTTCAATTTAGTGAACACCAGAAGCCATTTCTCCAGGGATTGAGATAAAGTAAATAATAATGGCGAGTCGTTAGAGAGAAATGATTAACATTTGTCTTAACCTAGATCTGACGTCTTATGAATTCATGCAAACTTTTGTAAAAGCAACAGTTTATCATTGTTTCTTTCAAAGTAAACAAATCCTTTTCGCGAAACAAATTTTGATTCTGTAAATACCATACCAGTGTTAGTCTAGTATTATGTATTGTGAAAGTAACTAAAGGAACTTGAGTTATATTCATATAAATCTGCGTAAATTGTTTTTTGTACCTTTTTCTGGTATATGTTTAATTTTTGATGCATATTTAAGTGGAGTCCAAGACATACAAGTTATTTAGAGAATGTTAATTGGTTCATTTGTATTTTTAAAAACAAGAGCTCTAGAAAAAAGCAGAGACAAGTGTATATAAGATAGTGGAGTTGAATAAAAACACGTTTACGGTAAGGTAAAAATCAGGGGTGTTGGTGTGTTGTGTCTAATTTTAAATTTAATGAAAGATTAACTAAACTAAACTTTGATTTTAAATTAAAAAGAAATCTTAGTTTTTTAAGAAAAGTATTTTAAATGTAAGAAAACTACAATACAATAAATACAAATTTAAATAGACTCTTGGATAAAATAAACAAAATAGTTGTCCGTCGAAGAAATACGATTATGTAAAATATAGTTTTTTCAACTTTTGTTGGAGTTTAATAGTAAAACTTGATACATATCCTCCTAGATTGAGTGCATTTACTTTTGGAAAGTTCATGGTTATATACTACTTGGTTGAGATTACCAGAAAATAAAAACACAAGAAGAAGAATTTTTTTATGTTAATTACGAAAAATTATTTTAGGAATGCATTAGCTAACTAACAAAATTTAACATATTAACAAAGTTCCATGCTTCAGTTTAAGAACCTCATACATTGATCAAAATGTTGATAATTTAGTTTCCATTAACAATATTGTTCATAA